ACCTCGCCAGCTGGGTCTGCTTGGTTGTGCTCCTTGCTCTCCCTCTGGTGGTCCGTTTTGGCCGCTCAGCAGCCCAAATCCTCCAAAACGGACCTCGCCATGTTGGTCAGCTTGGCTGTGCTCCTTGCTCTCCCGCTGGTGGTCCGTTTTGGCCGCTCAGCAGCCCAAATCCTCCAAAATGGACCTCCTCTCTGCTCTTGATCTGCTTTCCTGTGTTTGCTCTCCCGCTGGTGTTCCGTTTTGACCGTTAGCAGCCCGAATCCATCAGAGCGGACTTCCCTACCTCATCTGCGCTTGATATGCTTAGCTGTGCTCCTTGCTCTTTCTGGCGGTCCGTTTTGGCCGCTCAGCGGCCCAAACCCATCAAAACGGGCCTCCCCAGCTCTTCTGCTGTTGTCTGAGCGGACTACATCATTGAAAACGGGCTCTTTGTTTTTGTGTTTCTTTTCTCTCCCTATCCATCCATCCATCCATCCATCCATCCATCCATCCATCCATCCATCCATCCACTTATCTATCTATCTATCTATCTATCTATCTATCTATCTATCTATCTATCTAATATCATCTCATCTCATCTCATCTCATCTCATCTTATCTTATCTTATCTTATCTTATCTATCTTATCTTATCTATCTTATCTTATCTTGTCTTATCTTATCTTATCTTATCTTCCTACCTATCTATCTATCTAACTATCTATCTATCTAACTATCTATCTATCTATCTATCTATCTATCTATCTTTCATTTTCTGTATGCCAGGGATGTCTAGCTCAGTCGGTAGAGGGAAAGGCCCTTAATCTGAAGATTGAGGGTTCCGGACCGCCCTGCACCCGCAGTCAGTGGAAGAGTTGGGGTCCGAGGGAGAGCAAGGAGCACAGCCAAGCAGACCAACATGGCGAGGTCCGTTTTGGAGGATTTGGGCTGCTGAGCGGCCAAAACGGACCACCAGAGGGAGAGCAGGGAGCACAGCCAAGCAGACCAAGCTGGCGAGGTCCGTTTTGGAGGATTTGCCAAAACGGACCACCAGGGAGAGAGGAAGGAGCACACCCAAGCAGACCAAGCTGGCGAGGTCCGTTTTGGAGGATTTGGGCCGCTAAGTGGACAAAACGGCGAGAGAAAGGGACAGAGACCGATGAGGTCAGGGGAGGTCCGTGTTGACGGATTTGGGCTGCTGAGCGGCCAAAACGGACCACCAGACGAAGAGCAAGGAGCACAGCCCAGCAGACCAAGCTAGCGAGGCCCGTTTTGGAGGATTTGGGCTGCTGAGCGGCCAAAACGGACCACCAGAGGAGAGCAAGGAGCTCAGCCAAGCAGACCAACATGGCGAGGTCCGTTTTGGGGGATTTGGGCAAAACGGACCACCAAGGGAGAGCACGGAGCACAGCCAAGCAGACCAAGCTGGCAAGGTCCGTTTTGGAGGATTTGGGCTGCTGAGCGGCCAAAACGGACCACCAGGGAGCCAGCCAAGCAGACCTTGCTGGCGAGGTCCGTTTTGGAGGATTTGGGCTGCTGAGCGGCCAAAACGGACCACCAGAGGGAGAGCAGGGAGCACAGCCAAGCAGACCAAGCTGGCGAGGTCCGTTTTGAAGTATTTGGGCTGCTGAGCGGCCAAAATGGACCATCAGAGGGAGAGCAAGGAGCCTAGCCAAGCTGACCAAGCTGGCGAGGTCCGTTTTGGAGGATTTGGGCTGCTGAGCGGCCAAAACGGACCACCAGGGAGAGAGCAAGGAGCACACCCAAGCAGACCAAGCTGGCGAGGTCCGTTTTGGAGGATTTGGGCCGCTAAGTGGACAAAATGGAGCATGAGGGAGAGACTGAGACCGATGAGGTTGGAAGAGCAGGGGAGGTCCGTGTTCACGGATTTGGGCTGCTGAGCGGCCAAAACGGACCACCAGAGGGAGAGCAAGGAGCACAGCCCAGCAGACCAAGCTGGCGAGGCCCGTTTTGGAGGATGTGGGCTGCTGAGCGGCCAAAACGGACCACCAGAGGGAGAGCAAGGAGCTCAGCCAAGCAGACCAACATGGCGAGGTCCGTTTTGGAGGATTTGGGCTGCTGAGCGGCCAAAACGGACCACCAGAGGGAGAGCACGGAGCACAGCCAAGCAGACCAAGCTGGCGACGATCAACAAAACGGAGCACCAGGGAGAGACAGGGACAGAGACCTTCGACTTTTTCACCGGCTCCACTGGACACAGAGGTGGTACCTGTGTCTGCTTTCTCTTTTCCTGGCTGTCTGCTTGTGGTGGTTGCTTTCTGTGACATCCTGTCTGGATATACCGGTTTTCTGCCAAAAATTTGCAGATCATTTCCTGTATGCCAGGGATATCTAGCTCAGTCGGCAGAGGGCAAGGCCCTTAACCTGAGATTGAGGGTTCGACCCCGCCTTGCACCCGCAGTCAGTGGAAGAGTTGGGGAGGTCCGTTTTGGAGGATTTGGGCTGCTGAGCGGCCAAAACGGACCACCAGAGGGAGAGCAAGGAGCACAGCCCAGCAGACCAAGCTGGCGAGGCCCGTTTTGGAGGATTTGGGCTGCTGAGCGGCCAAAACGGACCACCAGAGGGAGCAAGGAGCACAGCCAAGCAGACCAAGCTGGCGAGGTCCGTTTTGGAGGATTTGGACTGCTGAGCGGCCAAAACGGAACACTAGAGGGAGAGCAAGGAGCACAGCCAAGCAGACCAAGCTGGCGAGGTCCGTTTTGAAGGATTTGGGCTGCTGAGCGGCCAAAACGGACCACCAGAGGGAGAGCAAGGAGCACAGCCAAGCTGACCAAGCTGGCGAGGTCCGTTTTGGAGGATTTGGGCTGCTGAGCGGCCAAAACGGACCACCAGAGGGAGAGCAAGGAGCAGAGCCAAGCTGACCAAGCTGGCGAGGTCCGTTTTGGAGGATTTGGGCTGCTGAGCGGCCAAAACGGACCACCAGGGAGAGAAAGGGACAGAGACCACCGCCAGCTCTCGTTTGATGAGGTTGCCGTGCCTGTGTGCGCACAGGAACATGAACGTTATCATCCCACCCCACCCCACCCCCCACCCCACCCCACCCACCCCCCCAAACCCACCCACCCCCACACCAGTGGAAGAGCTGGGGTTTTGGAGGATTTGGGCTGCTGAGCGGCCAAAACGGACCACCAGAGGGAGAACAAGGAGCACAGCCAAGCTGACCAAGCTGGCGAGGTCCTGCTGAGCGGCCAAAACGGAACACCATGAGGGAGAGCAAGGACAGAGACCCCCACCGCCAGCTATTCTCGTTGGTGAGGGTTTGCCGTGGCCTGTGTGCGCACAGGAACATGGACGTTATCCTTTCCCACCCCACCCCACCCAGTCCACCCCATTCCACCCCCCACCAACCCCACCCCCACCCAGTGGAAGAGCTGGGGAGGTCCGTTTTGAAGGATTCGGGCTGCTGAGCGGCCAAAACGGACCACCAGAGAAAGGGCAAGGAGCACAGCCAAGCTGACCAAGCTGGCGAGGTCCGTTTTGGAGGATTTGGGCTGCTGAGCGGCCAAAACGGACCACCAGGGACAGAAAGGGACAGAGACCCACCGCCAGCTGTCGTGTGATGAGGTTGCCGTGCCTGTGTGCGCACAGGAACATGGACGTTATCATCCCACCCCACCCCACCTCCCACCCCACCACCCCACCCCACCCACCCTAAAACCAGATGGTGTCGCAGATGAGGGGAAAATGGTGTCGCAGATGAGGGAAAATCAGGGGGGTTTTGGTGTCACAGATGAGGGGGATTTGGTGTCACAGATGAGGGGCTTACCGGTCTGGGTCATTGCCATTAGGGGATAGGCTGGCGGTAAAAGTTGCAACTCAGGAATTGCCCTGCGTTTGGAGAACCCAAGGCGCTTGAGGCCAAAGAAATCGGGGAGTTTCTTGGAAGGAACCACCAAGAATAGCTGAATGGCCCTTTTGAAATGGCGGTGAAGTAAGTTTGAAACCGCCAAGCACACCCCCTATTCATGTTCACGAAATCTCAAAAACGAATCGTTGGTCATGCCATTTGTTGTTAGGTGTGTTGATACTGGACCACCATTTATTTTTAAACATGTGGATGGCATTTCAAGGATCTGTGCGCAGGACGCAGATTTTCAACATGTGCTCGCTTAGAGCCGCCCCAAGCCCAGTCGAGGGGCTGGATCAGTCGATGGCTGGGAGCCATTTCCTAAGTCATGGGATACCTCCAAACCATCCATTTTTTTGTGGATTTCCATGACATGAACCATCCAGCTATTGGGGATCCCCATGACTATGGAAACCCCCATTGGATGTGACTCTGAGGTTATGTCGTTATTGCCGTTATGCCAATGAGCTGCTGAGCTAGTGGTAGGGTGCTTGAATGAAAAGTATTTAATCTGTCTTTCGCAGATTACCCCGCGTCTCCGCCGGGATGAAAACCTCTGTTGATTCTGTTGTTCTTTTTTTTTAAATGCCATTGGTGTCTTCAGAAAAAACTGATTTCATTTTCTTTCTGGTTGCTTTACCATTTTTGTATCCAAAAACCGGGCATCTGAGAGTTGGGGAGCTGTCTTGACCCATCTTGACCCCTTCGGCGATGGGCCGTGGGGTGTTCACGTTGGACGTTGGTGGTCCTTTGTCTGCCAGCTTCAGTTGCCAAGCACCAGTTGCACCAGGCGCCTGAGCAGCTCCAAAGCCAGGAAAATAGGCCCCAGAGCGATTTTTTTGGGTTTCAGATGTAGGAGTTGAGGGGATTTCAGTATCAGGGGATTGCAGTATCAAGACATTTGGGGAATAGGGACTGAAGACTGACCGATCTTGGCTGTTTCTGCACCCAAGCAGGATCGATGCAAGGCACAGCAAGCTCAGAAGGGTTTGAAGTCTGGCCGAATGATAGTTACATTTGATCTCATTTGACATGCATAGAATGCTGCGTATCTCGTGTACAGGATCACGGCCAGTTTCTCATGCCACATCCACCAGCCGTGTTTCTCTTGTGCCTCACTTTGTTTTCCGATCCTCACCTGACGCCTGTGCACCATGGTCTCAATGCCACCAGAACTGGGCGAAACGTCACATGAGCTCAGTGAGCTCAGTTCGCTGGTGAAGAAGATTGAGACGGCGCAGTTGGAGTCGCGTCCACTGAGCAGCGATGAAGCAACTGCTCTGGATGTGGCATTTTCCAAGACTAATCTGAGGGAACTTTGCCAAGCAAAGCTCGCAGACTCTGCCAAGAGTGAACTTTGCAGTTTGGCGCACCGCATCTGGGCAGCTGTGGGACAGGGGCCGCCCTATGATCCACTGCAGGATGCCAAGTGTAGGAACCTGGCATGCAACATCTTTTCTGCCAGCTTTAGGGGCTGCATTCCTCCCAGCGATGCGCTGTTGCTGTCTGCCCACTGGGCCTTCTCGGGCCAAGCTTGGATGCGAGCCGATGCCTCCTCGCCCTTGGCGCTGCCCTGCTTTGCTGAAGCTGCAAAGGCATGGAGGAGCCAACCCTCGGTGAAGCTGGCGCAAGTGGCGGCTCAAGCTTTGCTATGGGCTGGGGAAGCTCACTTTCGGCAGGTCAGCTACATTGAGGCCTTTTCTCAGCTTTCTCAGGCTCGCGATATCATCTGCAGCTACCAGGACTGGGATGGGATGCCTGGGGCTCAGAACAATTGAGATTGGAATGCCTGAGGATGGTTTTTTCTCCCGTGGAACAAAGAGAAATAGCATCTATTTTTTGAGTCGTGAGTTTTGATGCATACCCTCCAGATTCCTGCAATCCTGCAGCGTGCTGAGAACTCAGGTTAGACAACTTCCTGCGTGTTTGCTTCGAACAGGTCGCAGAGTCGTGCCAGGGTCGCGTAGTGGTGATTTGAAGCCTCCAAAGAACTCGTTTCGGATACTCAAAACATATCATCCGGGGGTACATCAAACAGAACCGATTTTATCAGGTGACGATATCAACTTTTAAAATCTTTTAAAATCTTCTCATTACCAGCTGGTTCCAAGTGGGTTGTGGCCACAACGGCCCACCAGGCCAATGCGCACCGCGCGGCTGGCAACCTGAGTGAGGCCATTGAGCTTCTGAACTTGGCGATTGCAGCAGGTGGGGATGGGGGCAGGGGATGAGGTGGACCAGAGACGTCTCATATTTTGGGGAAAGCAAACCACGTTACAGATAACCAGTGTAGTACTTGTTTGTTTATATTATCCATACTTGTATATATATATTATATTATATATATATATATTATATATTATATATTATATATTATATATCTATTATATATATTATATATATTATATATATATATATTATATATTATATATTATATATTATATATTATATATTACATATTATATATTATATATTATATATTATATATTATATATATAATATGTATATGTGTATAATGTGTAAATATTGAGAGGGACGATCATGATAAACCATGGGATACTGTATGCAATTTTGAGACCTACCCATGAGTCATGAAAGTTGATGGGAAGCAGCAAGTTGGGCACGGAAACGAAGGGTACCAGAGTGAATTTGGAGGCCCCAATGCTGCGCCTGCTGCAAAGTGTAGGCTGGGTCGGTCAGCACGACAGTCGATGGATGCATGGATGCATGAATGCATGGATGCATGGATGGACGGATGGACGGATGATACATGCATACCCTCTGGTAATCAAACGCCCAATTTATGGGGATTTTAATGGGAACATCATCTAAAAATGTGGGATTTTCCAGCTAGCCATATTTGATTACATGGAGGGTATTCCATGTGAACCATCTCCGTTTTGGTGGATTCTCAAACCATAGCTGAGCACCGCTGGACAATACCCGCTCTGTTGCATTTGATGGCCATAGAAGAGACTACTTGTCCAAATTTGGGTCGCTCCTTTTGCCATCCACATATTTATTCACCAATTTCGGCTCATTCCCATGCTATCATTTTTTGAGGGATAGAAGTCAACATTCGAGAACAGTGGCGGCGAAAATACGCGCAATCTTCTCCTTGCTTTGAGGTTGCTGCGGGCCTTGGCTTTATGCCATGTTTCCGGTGTGGAAGGGATGGTGCAATGCTCAACTGTGACCAGACTTTGAGCACGAAACGCTGATAGCAAACCTATCTATCTGATAGATATGATAGATAGAGCAGTTGGAATCCCGGGAAACATGTAAAAGGGGGATTCTTGGGCATGTACGTTTGTATGCTGGTTCTTATGTTTTTTTGTTGTTGGTCAATGTCTGTTCTTATCATCGATGTGTTTTTCTTTTTTCCTTAACTTTCACTTTTGATTTGTCCGACACGTACAAATGTTAGAGTAATGAGAAGAGAAATAGATGTCTTGATTGACACCTTTACATGAACTCAAGCAAAAACAATCAAAAGACAAAACAGAATCAAGTCTTATGTTAAGAACAATTGGACATTTACCTATAATATTTTAGAGAACCTTTACGACCTTGACTATGTCAATTGCTGTAAGCAACACGGGTGTTGGTGGTTTCCTAATCTTGAACGAACTTACATGTTTAGAAACAGGGAATTCAATATAAAACAGGTTTTGGACATCATCTTGCTCGAATACACTGAACAACTTATATATAAAAGGTTACGAGAACTATTGTAATCAAACTCAAATACTCATAACAGATACATACATACATACATACAGATAAATAACAGAGCACCTACAAAAACTGATAAATACTTGCTTACAGAAAAAACATATAGAGGAAAAGAAAAATGCCTATGATTAGAGCAAGCAAGGAAGAATGACAAAGAGAGAGAGAGAGATAATCTAGTGAACTTCATAAAAGAACACCCTTATCTCGACTATAACTTTGGATCTAATGACCTAACCCTTAAGCGACATCAATCTTTAGAGCAATACGCAGAGTATGGAGACATAAACCACTTTATGAACACATCTCCGATCAAGATCTACAGTAATAGGGAGACACGGTGAAAGGATACACGGCAGAGGAGGAAAGCCCGCATCACAACAAAACTATTATACACTGTTGACAGTGTCAAGTTTTATGATTGAGCAACGGGGTCTTGATAGAGACACAATTTTTGTAGTATTCTACCACATCAATCAAAGTGATTGTTTCTGAACATTGGGATGGAATAGGCGAAAGTGATGAACAGCGGAGAGACTGAGCCTTATGATAAATCCATAGTATCTTAACATGATTTATGAAGTATCTTTTCTAAAACAAACATCCCTGAAAATCCTATCAACCTCAACAATGTTCCCCCTCATTCAAACCAAACAACAACAGTAACAGTTAGGGGCTGTCCCAATGTCCCACAAACCCCATCCAAACCTACATGCCCCAGAATCCCCCTCTTACCATTTTTTCTGGGAATTATGAGGTGAACGTCATCTTTCTACCATCCTGCAAAAATTCAGGTTGAAAAAAGGGGACGGTATCAATTTTTCAGCACCTCACCGAGGCTCATGCGAAGCAAGCATTTGCCTTGTCTCCGACCTCCAAAGACCGGGTTCTTTCCCTTCAGGCCACAGAGTTTTCTTCCCTGATTCAAGCTGTTCGACCGCACCGGCGGCGCCTCACCAGGTCTTGCTGGAGCTTCTTCTTGGCAAAGAGAGTGCATCACTTGGATGCATTTTGTGGCACATATTGCCATATTTGGTTTGGTAATTTTTCAAGCAAGCCATGGCTCTTGTTAATGTTTCTAACAACACCTGGGGAAACATGGGAAACGTTCCTCAGCACAGTGCTGCTAGTCCTTGTTTTCAGGATTGTGCACGACTGCTGTGAGACATTCAGACTGCCTTTTTTGGCTCAAGCAACATGTTCGAGAACGGACTAGACTTCAGGCTAGAGCGGGTTGCAGTGCATTCATTTTTTTTAATCATTCCAGCGCTCCAAAACTGTGCTTTAGAACATCTTAGAACCAAGAATTGGGTTGGCCCTTTTTTACTTCTTGTGCCTCTTAGACTCTTCATCGACACTCAAGCTGTTCAAGCTAGAAGGATCAGATTCCTAGCAGAAAAAATCACCAAACACTGCCATCGCATTTGGCCGCATGACTACAGAAAGAATCGCAGTTTGTCTGAAGTCATTCGATGGTTCTATTTGTAGTTGTTTGCGCAGTGGTGTTGTTCATTCGGTGTGTGCCAAACCTGACCTTCCAAGGTTCCGAGCGGGATACACCAAGGGTCGCACATCCAATTCGCGGCAGCAGCAGACCATATTTTTGCAACAAATCCACGAGTTGTGCAGCAAGAGAAGCTTGGAAAGCAGGGAAAGCAGGGATGATGTTTACGGATTCCCCACAGGCTGCTGAACTTTTTCTAGCCTGGCAACTCCCAACGGTTTAATTTTTATTTTCCCTAAATCTACAGTAGTCCCATCCAGCTACACGAGGAAGTGTCACTGTCAAGAGTTTCCACCCACTGTAAGGAACTGCTACTTGCCCAACGTGGGATGTGGGAACCATGTGGACCATGTGGGAACCGTGTGGGAACCACGTCGGAACCATGTCTGTTGGCCAACGATACTTATCGATACTTGTAACGTCCGAGGCGGCAACAATGGCAGGAGGAAAAGGGTCTGGCGATGGTTTTTGACCCGGCCAAAGATCTACCAATCCACAGACCCCAGGCCGGGAGTGTCTCCTGAAAGTTTGGTGGCAAAGGGACCAGATGAGTCAAAAGTGGAACAATGAGCAAAATCCCATGACATGAGCATTTAAACATATTTATGTATAAACATATTTATGTAAACATATTTATGTAAACATGCATAAACAGTTTATAGTTTATAAATATATAATAAACATTCTGACCCCCCTTAGGGGGTCGATATCACCCCGAGGTGGCCGGGCCTCCGGGCTGGGATGAAGAACTTGGAGCCAGCGAACAGCAAGCGCTGCTTCGGCAAGTGCCTGGTCCAGGTGATGGCGAAACTCACAACACAAAACCCCGCGTAAAAAATAGTTAGCGCATATTAAATGGATAGATATGTGATATATATATATATGATATATATGATATATGATATATATATATGATATATGATATATGATATATGATATATGATATACCCTCTGGTTGTTTAACATAGACATGGAAGCCATGGCCCATAGAAATAGATGGTTTACCTATTAATAGCATGGCGGATCTTTCCATGGCTGGAGCTTGTTTGTTCTCGGAAGGTCATGCTGCAGGGGATGTGTCAGTTTAGTTTGGGCATGTTTCGACGCGAAATGAAATCTGGCACATGAAGATTCGGACGGTAGTTGTTTCAGTATATCAATGTATACCATAGTATATATATATTGTTTATATATATATATTGTTATTATTATTATTGTTATTATTATTATTATATCATTCCACTTTCGGGGGTTGGGTCCAGTTTGAACGTTTGGCCCGGGTTTTGTCTCAGGTGCCATCCAACGAGGTGGTGAAAGATGACTTTCACAGATATCGATGGCGATGCATCTTTCAACCGGAGAGGGCTGTTGCTTGGCGCCTGGTTTTAGGAGGCCACCGTTGGTTGTCCCCAGAGTTTCCCTCTAATGGACCAGCTGCCCAGCTTTAAGTAGATATGTTTTTGTTGTTTCTTCTTGGTTCCCTCATTTTAATAAAGTCATGCCGCCCCTAGATTAGTAAAAAGCTGCCCGGTTGATGAATTAGGGTGGTGACCTCCAAATAGTGACAGTCTGCTACTGGAATGGCACTTTTACCAATATTCACAGCCCAGTTGGAGGATCATCCCCTGGATCGTAGGTGGTTAATAACCCTTGGTTACTAGGTCTCCATTTATAAGTGGCTAAACTGACCTCGCGTTTAAACTCACCCCTGGTTGGATGATCTTCCAAGTACTTGGCTGGCGGGTGGGGTGGGGTAAGAATGTCATGTGCACTGCGTCCAAGTAACTTCTAACACGCTCTTGATGTTTACGCTCTGCGCTTCTTCAAGTCACCTCTATCACGTTCTTGATGTTACGCTCTGTACTTCTTCAAGTAACTTCTAACACGCTCTTGATATTACGAAGTCTATAAAAAAATGGCTCACTTCCTGCAACGCTTGTGAAGCGAAAGAGATACACACTTACAGGTACAACATTGAAAAAACAAAATAGTTTGTCGCAGGATTTGAGAGGCTCCAAAAAAATGGACAAACGCAGAAATCCCTGAGAAAACACAGGCAAAGTGAACTTGCAACTGTTGGAAAAACAGGCGGCGTTCTGTCAGCCGCTTACCAAGTAGTTGGCACCCAGTTATAGACATTAAGCATTATTAAAGGCAGTTAACTATAGTAACTATAGTCATTATATGTCATTATTTTCTTGGTGTCTTCAGCCATCTTGGCCAAAGTTAGGTGGAGACTCTAGGGCCCGTGGCAGAACTTCAGCTGGTGATTGTGAAAGCCAGAGACCTGCATTCGCACGAGCTCTCCAAGATGCTCCAACCTACCTGCAATCCTGCATGCAAGGCAACTTCAATCTTCAAAATTTGTGGGGTGGTCTGAAAATGGGATATACTGTGATATACTCTTCAAATGGCCATTTGAAATGGGATCATGAGAATAGTAAATGGGATATCGGATATCAAATGGCGATTTTATATCATTTTATGGGATATACTGAGAATCATCAATTGGAATTTTTCGGCAACTTGGACTTGTCTGAAAATAGGATACCCCAAGTTATAGCCATTTTCATGGGGAAAATGATCACCAACCGGTGGATTGGGGAAAAAACGTGATTTTTGGGGAACATGTCCCGCTTCAATCTTCGAATTTTATGGCATGGTATGAGACAAAAGGTTAAACTTCCAGGGAAACAAATGAATCATGAGACTTTTGGTACCTTTTACGCTTAATTTTTGGGTCAAGTCTGACTAATACCCGCTGATGGAGTTGTTCGAATCCAGAGATTAAATCAGGAGCGACTGTTAGACAATTATATGATATATGATTATAAACTTATATAAAATTATATATATATATATATACACATGATTGTATATGATTAGGGATATTATATAGTTATAAATAGTTGTATGTATACACATCGATATCATAGATGATAGATAGATAGCATTTCCTTGTTGTTCAACGAGTGTTTTGTGGTACCTGGTGTAGACCTGAGGTATACCTCGATGACAACCTGGTTTGTCAAAGCAAGTGCCAGCAGCAAACCGTGGAGCCAGAATGGTGACTGGTCTGTGAAGATTTGAGCTCTAATTCCACCCCTCGCTGTGCCTATAGAGAATGCTGCAAAACAAGGCAACACAGTTGGAGGTGTGACATGTCATTTTCGGTGGCGTGGCACTGGTGAGAATAAGGCGTGAAGTTGTCGTGACTCTCTAATTCGACCCCTCACTGTACCGCTGTGACTATAGCGTATGCTGCAAAGCGTGTCGGGTTGGAGGTGTGCAATGTCACCTTGTGTGGTATTTGGCGAGAATCAGGCTCTAACTCGCGTCTCGCCGTGCCTGCAGCGAACGCTGCAAAACGAGTGTGGACTGTAGAGTGGAGGGTGTGGAGGGTTAAGTGTGGAGCGTGGAGTGTGGAGAGAGTGGAGTGTAAAGCGTCGAGTTTGTGGGGTACAGAGTGTGGAGTATAATGTGTCATATAGAGTATGGAGTACTGTATCAAATGTACGTAGTGTAGCATGTCGAGTGTGCAGAGTAGAGCGTGCTGTAAAGTGTTGAGCGTACAGTGTAGAGTGTGGAGAATGGATTCTAGAGCGGAAAGGGTGGAGTGTGTAGAGTGTTAAGTGTGGAGTGCGCTGTGGAGAGAGTGTGAAGTGTAGAGCTGGATGTGTAGAACCTGAAGTTTGGAGTGTAAAGTGTGCAGTATAGACTCTGGAGTGCGGAGTGTGTAGTGCAGAGTGTGGGTCGTGAAGTGTGGAGTGTAGAGTATGAGGTATAGAGTGTGGAGTATATATGGAGTGTAAAGTATACAGTGTACACTGTGGGTTGTAGAAGCATAAAGTCTGGTGTGCAGATTGGAGTGTAGAGTGTGGGGGGGGGTGGAGTGTGTAGTGCAGATTGTGGAGTGTGAAGTGTGGATTTTGATTTGTTGAGGGCTCAGTCTCCTACTAATGGATGGGCCCTGAAATAAATACCTTCGGGTTCGTGGATTTTGTCGTCTTTGATCATCCCGCTTGATACGTGGAATCACCTGTTTTCTATTTCTATCCAATTATAAACGATCCAATTATTGAGGTACGCAATTTTGCCCCATCTGTGGAATCAGCTGTTTTCGATCGTCTCTGATGACGTTTCCCAACTTGTGGAAGTTCCCGTTGCGCACGGCACCTGAGGCAATTTCCGAGAGCTGTGGGAGTCACCTGTCCGTTCTCAATGCTGCGAGTCCAAGTGGTGGATCAAGGCAAGTCCAACGCAGTGACTCGAGTCTGGGCTCACGGTCTTGTAACAAAGTGGATTGCAACTAATGTCCAAGGGAAATTTGTTGGTTTATTTATGGTTTATTCTTAATCTATTGGGGTTTTGATAATTCGATTATATCATTTAGTTTAAATTACCTGAACGGTTATGAATTGACGGGGCTATTGTTAATATTGTTAATAGCCCCCTTGTAATCCAAATAAAGTTGACGCTAAACAAAGTTCTGGGGATGCTGGACAATTTTTGGCATCTATGTATTGCCGAACAAGTTGCCTAATTGAACACCAACAGACAATTGTCATATTGGGCCCCTTTTAGTATTGCTAAACTGCTAAACAAATCGGCAAATTGAAAACGAATACATAAGCTTCATGGAAAACTTTATGAATAGGGTTGAGATAGCAAAGTGTAATTTACTTTAAAGTTGACTTTGAAAGCTGAGTATATTCACCCCGAATTCCCACAGAAAAAGATCGGTGACATTATTAGGGAGTAAAACAGGGTTCTTTATTCTGCTTCCGAGGTGGTTTAAGGCTAGCGCCCTTTGCGCTGTTTTGCATCTTTTAGATAAGGGATTAATACAGAAATCGATGCATTCAGATCGGGATTTTGAGATTAAGATGAAGAATTTGGGGAGGGTTTAGCCGAAGAAAACTTTTCAATACAAGTAAGTGACTAAGATATCAACAAAACACAAAAACAGTATCTAAAACAATGCCCCCCAAAACCGGTCGGGGTGCTGTATTGTGAATAGGGTCACCGTGCAGGTTTAGGTTTCCCAGGAATTGCACTTATTTTGTCAAATTTTATTATGAACATTACTATATATTATGATTGTTGTCAGTCTTTTTGTTCATATTTTGTATTATCTTCTTTTGTTTTTTGGCATTTATAAAACTCTAGATAAGAGCTCATGCAATATTTGTTCAGGGTCTGCTGGGTTCTTATTCACTGTTGCGGATACTTAGCACTAATTCAGAGGGTCCAGCCCTCAAGTTGTCATTGCAGTAGGTTCTTAGCACAGATAAGTGGTCATTGAGGTCCATAAATTTGGCCCAGAGCCTTTGTTGCTGATCTGGTCCACGTTGCCATGTTTCTTTTGAAAAAACTGTTCTCATCAGCTGAGGAAACATCGGATTTGTCGAAATCTGCATTGGCGATTTGCCTCTCAACAAAGACATTGAAGGATGGTTTGAGTTGCGCCACCAGGAGAACTTGTGTGGATTTAGTCAAAACAATATATATATATATACATATTTGGCTGGTCACCCTTACATAGTCACCCATCACAGCTTTTCGTTCTCTCCATCACTTTCTGCAGTTTCAACATGTCCTGCTTGGTGCTGGAATAATGGTGAATTCGTTGTTCAAAAGATTTGGAGGAGAGTTGTTGCCGGTACTGTACAGGTCGAAATTTCACAAGGGAAGCGCAGGTGAGTCCATTCTTAGTATTCACCACCCAACTAGTTGATTGTACCCAATTTTGTCCCAGAGAAGCTAGCCCCTAGATAGGTAAGTCGGTTTAAACGCTTGTAATCAGTAGATTTAATGGTGGATATATCCATGGTTGGGTTTTGAAACCAGCTTATAATCTAGGCGACCCTTGCTGTGTGAATATTAGGCTATGGGTCAAAAACCTGTTACCCTGTTGAAGACTAAAATAGCTGTTAAATCATGTTTGTCCCCCTATTGACATGCATGATAGGTATTGTCTCATCCCTATGTTCGGCCCCACTGGATCCCTCCCATCCCATGCATCTCTTTCGGAGCTTGTCATGTCCATTTTGTGCAAGACTCAAGTGTCACTTTCCTTTGTGAACCAATAGGGTGCAGAATGACATATGATATTTTGACTTCGAGATGCTTGCCGGGCTACCAAACAACCACCAGCAACAAGTCACAGACCAGTTTCGTCACCACCAGCTTTGGTTCGATCAGGAGTCTTTGCAGCGAAGCAGCTGGGACCGCTATCAGAAGCACTGCCAGAAACGGGACGATGAAATGCCAAACGTCAGGCACAACGCTTTGGTTTCCAGGAATAAAAAGAATGATATCCATGATATCCTCCTGGTGCTGAAATGCCAAATGTCTGATGGTGAAATCCAACATTTTGATGGTGAAATCGGGATTCTTGATGCTGAACAGCAAAAAAACATGATCGTTAATTCCCAGTTTTTGATGGTTTCATTTTTGAATTTTAATTTGGTGGTGTTGAATTTCTGTTCTTCATGCTTAAATCCCCACAATTGGGCAAGTTTCCAGCATGCCATCTTTGTTTGCAGATGACACAAGTTCTTGATGTGGGTCAGTATGTGGTATATGTGATGATGTTTGAGGGAAGTAGCAAATATTTGCACTGCCGTGCCAGTAGAACACTGGATGCCCCCAGTTCTTGCTTCGCATTGCAGTCACTGGAGGCTTCGCAAGCAAAGGGCTCAAAAGCTTCGAAGCGTCAAGGGCCAAGACCAGCAGATGCTAGAAGGAGAGACGCAGCTGCAAGGCTGTTGTCAAGTCATTGTGCACGAAATTGCAATGGTTAAAGAGTAAAATGACAAGCATGTGGATCCAGAGAGTACCTGTTTCGGAAAGGTTTCTACTGCCTACCAACGTGTGGATGAACGTCAAGGTATTCATTTGCAAAGCGGCAGGGTTGTCCAAGCACACTTCCCTCATTGAGCTGAGGATGGGACGGAAACCATCAATTCTGGAACGCAAAGGAGACGCCGCGAAGCCGTTGAGTTTGTTCTGCCATTGGGCAGCAGCTTCCAACGTGACATCAACCATCTCAGTCCGAACTAAAAATGGCCACTTACAATGAAATATACAATTTTTGGATATTTTTGTGTATACGGTGACGGTACGTGTATGACATAAGTAGCGTCAACTCGCAGAGAAATCTCTGCTTTCCCAAGTTGTGCGCATGCCGAAGGACTTTCCTCAGCAGCTGCGTGACATACTTCGCAGATCGTTCAACCGAGTTGGGGCTCAATGTGTCCCAGGTCCATGGTTGGGTTAAAAGGTTAGGTTTTGAAGATGGAAACGTGGGATTGGATCAACCAAAATGGACCTACGAATGTCGCCAAAAGCAACAATTGAACCCCTTTTGGGAAAAGCCATCCCACAAGATGGGAACCGTTTTGTTTTGGTTAAATCTATCACCATTTTAATAAAGGATTTCGTCATATTTTAGCAACTTCCATGGTTTTGGGGATTGCCTGAAATGTTGCAGGCACTGAGACCTGCGATTCGAGACAATGCTGGAGAGACCTTTGGCAGCACGGAGTACTGGTGATGCGGTCAGGGTAGTGGCTCCTCATGGCCTGTCGTGGACTTCCATGGCGTTTCATGGCGTTTCGTGGTGTTTTTACGTGCTGCTGCTGGGTGTTTCAGGATCTCTGATGATTTGATGTTGAAACCCAAGGATACTGCTGCGCCTTCGCTTTTCCTATTTGGATCGAGCCAAAGATCCTTTGCTGAGTACACCAAGGTCCACGCTGATGAAACACATGATAGAGACAGGTGGTTTGTCACGATATTGCTAGGGAAGCCATAGTTGAATAGGGATTGATTACACTTGATGACACTCACAACATTTTTTGGGTATTTTTTTAAATTGATGCTATAAAACAGCCTCAGACGCGGCTACTGAGGACAGCTTCTTTGCGCGGGCTCTGAACCCACCGACCTCTCGAGACCATGGCACGCAGACCTTGCAGGACCGTTTAGAAGCAACATTAGCATGCGACCGTTCCTTGAAACATAGCATTTTTGGTGCGACATCGTCGACATCTCCAAAAAACGGTGGGTTGATGTTGGTTGATCCCTACCATCCCAGGCGGACGAAGACTTACAGCTGCAACAGCTCTGGGACGAGGTGATCGATGTGAAGCACAAACTCCTGGAGGACAAGTGTGTGCCCATGCCCCCCAAATGTTGAGAGGTTTATATACCGGGGAAAATAAATAAAACATATAATATATATCATAATATATCATAATATAATAATAATACATATATATATATATACATATCATAATTATGATATGCATATATATATATATATATTATAATTATGATATATATATAATAATTATGATATATATATATATATATCTATTATGATGTATATATGAATATACGTATGTATGTATATATATATGTTATGTACTGGCTGTCGCTCTTGTCCTCATTCTTGTTGGTTTAACCTATCCGAATTCTTTGATGTAAAAGGTTTCATGAACAACAACCAGATCATAAGACAGATTAAGCCATACGTTAACCATATATTAACTAGATATTTCCATGGAAATGGAGGCATCAAAAGGAACTGTTTTTTCTGCCGCCTTTCAGCCTTTCAGGAGGCGTTTTGCTCCACCCGGAACTTTGTGAACTACATCCTCCAGTGGCGCTCGATCCTGCTGTGCCTGGACCGAACAAAAATGGGTAGTTGCAGGGCCTGGAGAAAGATATGCTCAGCATCATTGAACTCGACCTGCGAAATATAACGCTTCGGTACTTCAAAAAAAAACAACAACCTCTAGTTCCTGAATTTTCCTGGTAGATTTTTTGCTTAACACATATATATATATATATATACACCTCTCTATCCCTCACCTGTGGGGGAATCTGAGGTCTTCGTTTCTGTTGGCCTCGTTGCTGTGCCCTTTGGGATACAGTGCGCTCTTCCCCTACCCACGCAATCTATGGCTTTGGACGGCGGTGCTTCCTGGAACCCTGGCGTTTGTTCACTTGATTCTGTGGGCTCCCTAGAATGAAACAAAAAAATGACGCCAGCTGCAGTTGTCCGAAAATGGGGTACCCATAAAATCCAATGGTTGCTCATCAATTTCCCTATTAGAATGGCCAGAAATAAATTGGGGTATGCCCCATTTTCAGACACACCACTTGAGACACTGATTTTTTAAAGCCCTGCTTCTCCTGCCCTCCGGATGACCGGAATCACCAGGTCGATTTCTGCGCTCCGAGCTGTCATGCTTCAGGGCGGCTCAAATGCACCCTTGACACAAGAAGGTGTGGGGCTTGGGCCTTGAAAAGGAAAGATGGTCGAATTTTAGCACCTAAGCAGTGACTTTGTGCTGGTTATACTGATCTTCATTGTGAATTATTCTGACCCATTACAGCCCCCTATCAGCCAAACAGCATGAAGGGAAGATGGTTGGGAAGAGAGAACATGGCGTGCTAGGCTTCGCTCGAGCAGCTGCATGGCGTGATACAGAGTCCAAGCTGCACGAGCACTGAGCATAAGTCCCGATTCAGTGGGTTATCCCTTTTATAAGCGGCTTATAACCCCATTTACTAAGCACTCACTAAATGGGATGATCCGCCAAGTGGGATCCAAATGGCAGCTTGACTCAAGGGTTAAAGCCATGATTCTCTGGCTGCAGTCCTCAGGAACATGTGATGACGTTCATCACCAGGGTCCTAGTTGACCTGAAGGCGCTAGAAAGTGAATGCCAAGGTAGACTTGTAAGGACTTGCAAATGTCTTGAACTATCTTGACATTATTGAACTACACTTATTTTTAACTATAGGAGTATAGGAGCTATTTTTTTTCACGTTTTTCTTGTCTTTCCTGTCAGCATCATGGCCATGCCATGGCAGGGATCGGTGACAGACGAAAATGAGCTGCGCTCCTTTGCCGCCCGATCCTTCCGTGACGGCAAGCCGCTGCTCACCATTTCGGAACTCAGGCGCCGGCCGGGCTGGAGAGGGCAGGCTGCAGAGAGGGCAAGTCGCCGATGGTGGCCATGAATCAACATAATCAACCGAAGAATAGCATCTTTAAAACATATGGCAAACCGATGGTGGTAAACAGGAGTTCAAGGTGAGTTGCAGAATCTTCAGGATATCAATCAACGGTTTGGAGTCTGAAACTAGCCCAATAGGATAGAATTACTGTACACTGTAGATCCCTCAGATCTTAATAGTGGTGACCACGGCTCAAAATCATGGACAATAACCGGATCGTTCATTGTTGAAAATTGCCAGCCAGATCTGATTCAGTGGTACCCGATTTTAGGCGGGCCATAGCAACGTCTCGGCGCAGGACAGGCTTGAAAGCCGCGCGCTGGATCCGCTTTGCTTGGCGCTGAGGTTGAACTTGAACTTGTGGAAGTTGAATTCTTACAATTCAATCAGATTCAATCAGATTATATATACATATACATTATATCCCAGTATTCCTTTGATATTTTATTCCCATCCATGATTCCCAGTTTTTTTCAAATCTGGAACTGAGGAGATGCCATGGCAAGCTCCGGAGTCTGCCAGAATCCCAGGTTTTGTTGCTAGTTGGTAGCCGAAGATTTTTCGCCCTCAGGAAATCGATGCCAAAATGCTGCTGCGAGAAGGATTTCCGAGCACGCAGTTACAATGTGGAGATCTGGCAACCTGGCTGTTTCATGCTGTTTCGCTGTTTCGGCCAAAAATCATTTTTCAGCAAGACCTACGCTAAGTAGAGCGGGTTGGGCCCCTGGTCATCTCAATTTGTGGAACCTGAAAGTAAGAACTGCGTGATGCTCATGAACTCCGAAGCTTGAGATTGAGCGTCCCCACTTGGTCAATTCCTAAAGGTGTTTTGATCAATTTTGCTCAGGATCCCAAACATATCCAAAAATGATGACATGTCGAATTATATCAGATCGGTCCTCTCAGGTTGCCCTGAAAAAAGGGGAGGTCCACTATAATTAGAGGTGTCCCAAGTCATGGGGGTTCCTTTCAGTTCTCATCCATTTTAATGGGATTTTCCTTTATAAACCATCCATTAGTAGGGATTTAGGGTACCCCCATGACTGGTACCATCCATCAGCTTCGAGGTGCTTGTTGATGAGCGAACGCGGGCAACCGTCAAGTTTGTGGACGACCCCTATGTGGTGGCGCTTCTTCTGCAATGGTGGGAGATATTGGGCGGTTTTTAAAAGGGGACCCCAAAATCATGGAACATTGGTCATATTCAATGGGAAAACGACTTTAAGAAACTTCCACACGGAGACGGATCGGAATTCAAGAGAAAAACATGTGAACTCCCAGAAGAACTTGGACAACTTGGATTTCCCAATCTACACAATATGTCAGAATAAGATGTGACTAGTCCAATGCGCTCCCAAACTTGCCATGAGTCAAAACTGAGTCGTAGCCCCCGAGCCCATTATCCAAATTTGTTCAATACATACATAAATAGGTGTGTATATAGATATAATATATGATAAAAGTAGGTACGGTATGCATATATATATATATACATAACCATTACTGGTAATGTATATATATATATATGTATTAGAATATGATATCTCCATCCAGCTATACCAATTTCAACCATGGCCAGGTCGAATATGATGAGCTCAATGAGCGGGCCAGCCAAAGACAGGCGAAGGTTGGATCAACGGAGTATTTCCCTCGGTCGTCTTGCGACTTTGTGGATGAATATTAGGACATGAATACGATTACTATATTAATGTGATTATAGATTTTCTTATGAAGACTATGGATGTTGGGATGACGATGATAGATAATGCCGGGACGATGATATAGTAATGTAGTAGGATTTTCTTATTGGGACTGTTAGTTGGGATGACAATCAGGACAATCATATAGTTTATGGCAATGTAGTAGTAATACTACAGTAATGGTAATAGTAATAATGACGACGACGACGACAACCACAATCAGAATCGCTCAGAATAGTTGACTACTAAAAATAGTCGTGGGTCCGATGATATATCGTTTTGAACCATATCTATTCAGAGTTTCAGGCAACTGAGCGCTGCCAGGTATGACAATATAGCAACCCGAGTATAGATGGAAACGTTGGACACCCGGAAATTACAATATCAAACACATATCATCCACAACATCGTGGGAAAAAAACATGCGGAACCCTACAAACACATATATAATCATATATACATGTATACAATTGTATACATATGTATACATATTTACATTGGAGTGTGTAGTTCCGATTCATGAGTCGTGATGGCTATATGATCTCAGATCCTGCGATGGAACGAACGGACTTCCGGGGTCCGCAGGTCGCATCGGCATCTCCGCGAGAGCCAAATGCTGAGGGATCCAAGAGACGAAGCGATGAGTTGGATGAGTTTGGACAATTCGTTAATGATTTTTGTAAATTTTCACTTCACCACTATATCCAGTATCTTGATCGTTAGTTTGAGGGACGGGTTTTTCTTGGGCTTCACCAGACTGATCCAGGCCCCGCGGCAATGAAAGTCTGCTGCCTGACAGCCCGAAAGCAGCGGAGGTGTGGTGCGGGAGGCAGTTTTTCGGCGAGGGAGGATGTCACTTGGGACAGGTGGTGCATTCCACCGCGGGAGGTGCCGATCTCAGAGAGTTTTTCGGAGGAATTTGGGATGCTGAAGCCAGAGATGTTGTGAAATGCAGTCAATTCTGAGGGAAAGACAATCTGGCAGAGGACAGATCAGCACCAGTGGGTCTGGGAGAAAGTTGGTGAACACGTGGCCAGGAGAAAGGAACATCATCAATCTATCCATGAGAAACCAGTCTCGATGCCCGTAAGGCGCCGTAAGGGTTGTAGAATGGGTATGTTTTCAGCACTACGGACCCCCGAGATTGGATGGCATGAACGTGTCCCAATGTTTGTTGGTGATACGGTAATTCGGTAATACTAGTAGTTATGCTCGCCATCACCGAGGCTTCTCTATCGGGTCTACCACCTCATTGGGATTTATATGCCCATGAGGTGTGAATTCCCATGGCATGGGATGGATGACCATACCCCATGTGCACTTTGGCCAGGACCGGATTCCAAAGTCGCGCGTGTCACTGAGACCAAAGCTTCCCGCGGTCCCGCAGAAGTGCGCGCGCGCACTTTCGGAAGTGCTCCGGGTCTCTAAAAACTATGGGTGTACATATATTATGTGTATGGTGTTCTGACTGTTCGTTGTTGGTTGAACTTCCTATAAAGATGGTTGCATCCCCACGATTATGATTTATGCTTAAATTTCTGGTTTAGTTGGTTGACTTCCCAGGTGCGCATGCTTCGAGAAGCATGCCCTCTTGGTCCATGGGCTAGTTCAATGGCGGCACAGGTATGTTCCACGCCAATTGGCCGGTGAAATCTACTCCATGTGTACCTCATCGGCAAAGATAGCTGAAGGGTTTTTCACCAAAGTGTTAGCTTAGGGGTTTCAGCCCAGATAAAGGTTCGATGCAGATTCCAGTGGTGTGTGGGTTCTGATGCAGGTTCCGGTGAAGGTTCCGGTGTTGGTTCCGGTGTTGGTTCTGATGCAGGTTCCGGTGAAGGTTCCGGTGTTGGTTCCGGTGTGGGTTCCGGTGTTGGTTCCGGTGTGGGTTCTGGTGTGGGTTCCGGTGTGTGTTGGTTCGCGTGTTGGTTCTGGTGTGGGTTCCGGTGTGGGTTCCGGTGTTGGTTCAAGTTGGTTCCAGTGTTGGTTCCGGTGTTGGTTTTGGTGTGGGTTCCGGTGTTGGTTCCAGTGTTGGTTCCGGTGTGGGTTCCGGAGCGTTCCGGAGGTTCCGCTGTGGGCCCAGTTGTGGATTACGGTATGGGTCTCCTTGAAACTTGATACTGTTATGTGGCTGCCGTCATTCTTTCCTACCGTCTTTGCTGTTGTGATACTGCTTGGGCTTACTTAGGGCTTACTTTTTAGACGGTTATATAATATTTTTGAATGGAAGTCCAGGATTGAGCAGAGGTATATTAGATCCATTGCTGGTTCCCATGCTCTGCCACACTTCGAGGGATCCTCAGCGCCACTCCCTGCCAAGGCATAGTCATTGATGATCTGAAGACGCTGCTGTGTTCCTTGGTTGACTGTTGCCATGAGCACCCAACATTCGATGCAGGTGGTTGAATCAATGGACCAGGAAAATGCTGAATCAATGCCAAGAGGCCGCTTATAACTTACAACTGGACATGTAGATTTCCGAGACTTGCCATGGTCACCATGGTCCAATAAAATAGAACAGTTTGAATACTTGGCTGTGCATCCCACTTGGTGCCAGTTTTTTTTTTAAGCCTTGGTGATCGGAAGTACATGCCATTTGTAGCGAGGGAAACTCACCAAAGCGACACATTTGGCAGTTGCAAGGAAGCACACACACATACATATAGGTACACAGACGCATATGTAATCAATGCGGTTTGTCTATAGTTTCAATTGGACATTGCCTATATAAATAATATACATACATATACAATCATATACAAATGTATACTGTACCCGGACGTTCGACCAGCACTTATCCTCATGAGGGATCAATTCTGCCACCCCCTTTGAACAATACTGTATACTGAATGGTATGTGCATAATATATATATATATATATAATAATAATAATAGTAATAATAATAATAATTTACCTAGATACATAGACATATGGAAACACGCAACCTTCCACACCCCCAGCGCGGTCAAACGTCAGGGTTGCAGCGAACACATTTATACACATCTACATATGTATATATATATATATGCACACTCACACAGATGCGCACATATATACACTACTATATAGTATACACATATACATGAACAATACATGAACATATGATGCACCTTCTGGCAGTTTAGCATAGCTATGGACAATCACCATGTTTAATAGGTAAACAATCTATGATGGGGCATTTTCAATGGCTATGTTGAATTACGGGCAGGATTGAGGGTTTTCCCGGAATGGATTGGTTAACGTCCTAAGGTGGCTCATAAAACACTGCGCAGGCACAGTGTTTTATCACCTTGGTACATCTTTGTGTTTGTATGTCACAAGACGTTTTTTCTGAAAGTGAACCCTTTGCGAACTTCATGCGTGTCGCCCTTTTCCGGTGATTCACTTTTGTGGCGAGTTTGGAGTGTTATTGTTTGACAGGGGTGGGAGATCTCAATCCGCACGTCCTAATCTTCCCCTTCATGGGAAAAAAACCCTGGCACTGGGATGTTGCGTTCCTCTGCGTCCGTACTCGGATTTCGCCCTTTGCGCAAACCCTTCGTCCTGTGGGTTACATTACCAGAGGGTCTAGAGATATGAAAAATGACTATTAAATGCATCTACGCACTCCATGTTCACAACCTCGAGGTCCTATCTTCAGCTTTTGGGGGGACGTCCTATGTTGGCGACGTTGGGACATTGCGTTGGGAGCCTCAAATCTTCAGGACTGGGGCTGACTGGAAGGATTTAGTGTCAAACCCTAGCCATAATTTGGGTTGAATTGGGTAGAAGGTAGAACCATGAAGAATTGGGATGTACTGTAACTATCAACAGCAGGAGTCCTAGTTTTTTCGATGCAAAATTCTTCCAGTTAGCTGGTTACCAGTTGTTGGTCAGACAATAACCCCGATCAGCGCTGATGTCCGGAGGCTTCTGATGTTTTTCCTGCTCATGCTGACCTCTGTCGCATCGCCGCTGGGCATTCAGCGAAAAACTCGCCCGGATGGCAAGTGCTAAGAGGAACATTGTTGTTTTGGTTTGGGACCAGAAAAAGATCAAAGATCTAGCGTGAACAGGGGTTGCTGGAACCTATTTTTGTGATTTTTTGTGGGTAAATGATGGTAAATGATGGCCACACGAAGGAGTAATTGCTGATTTTAGCTCTGTATTCAGTCCATTGTCACCCGGGTGGGACTGCTTGCGACAAGGACGATGGCCTTCCTGCTGGAATGCTGCATTGATTCCAGCGGAGCCCAAATTGCCAAAGCAACCGTGAGGCAGGGCCCTCCACGGGTGCCGGGGAGGCGACATCCCCATTGGAGGGATGAACATCCGGCGATGATGTGACGCCAGTCTGATTGCAAGATCAAAACCGAACCACAACATCTATGATGCATTTCAAGAAACATCGGATAGGAATTACATTCATTGGTGAACTAAATATGTATATATACCCGACTGAATCAAGATCCACCAACATTGAACAGTATATATATATATAATTATATATATATATGTATATATATATATATGGTATGTTAAGTATGCAACCATTGAACCATATCAGTACCATATAATCAAGATTCACCATCGATCTGTACTCAAGGAGCATCATGCTGGCCATCAAGATCTTGCTGGCACTTGCGACTGGTCATAACTGGATCATGAAAGCCGCGTGGTTCTAAAGCCCCTTTAGGGTATAAAAGCAACCACGAAAACACGGCAATGTAATGGGGAATATCATGGCATACATGATACATCATACTAAATCATACTGATATATTACCAACTTAATATGATATTTGATGATATTAGTACCGGCGTGCTCCAAATCATTAAAGGTAAATGATAGTCTTGGGGCAAACAGTTGTAATTTTACTTCTTCATCCACCCATTGCCCCTTGTATCTGGGGCTTGGGAGCAACCTTGTTTACAATCTATTTGTGCAATTGTTTGGGACAATCATTTTGAGCCATAGATAGACTATCCAGTGTTTAGGAGGGAGCATGAGGGAGCTATGGAGTCTATATTCTTTCAGAAATGGGGAGCCAAGGAGCTATGAGTTGCCCAACCACATGATCAGAGATTTACGGCAAGTTTTTCCGGCAACGGAAAGGGTTGGATCTCTCGAAGCCGACCACATGCTTTCTGAGATGTGGAAATTTCTGGTGGCCGGAAGATTTTAGTAACTTGCTAGTTGCCGTATTAGGAGGTCTTTGAAACTTTGACGAGAGATCACTATTCGCTCGTACACATAGACTGTTTTTTATAAGTTTGGGAGCAAAAATTGTGGAACGCATTTTCCATTCTGGATTGGCACAGAACCTTTCACCCATCATTGTACACCCGCAACCTTCCTTGTGCGAGCAGTCTCCCATACTCAGCCAGGACCAATTTGCAAATTACAGGTCTGCTAGTGACATGCTTGTGCCGCACTACCTGTGTGCCCAAATGTTGTTTTCATCGGCTTTTTGCACATCAGACCTTGCAAAGACTCTGCAAAGCATGCCTAGCGGCACACGACCAAATTCACATGAACCAGACTACCACATGCAACGCACTATCTTTTTGGTTGGCAACTGGTTGCTTTAAGTCTAAGCATCATTTGCCAGCACTTCTGATCCCGAGGCAGTGTTTGGCATTTTCCTTCGCAGAGCTAGATGGTTCGCAGGAAACTCAGTCCTGCGATGTTGCATGGGCTTGTCATGGCTTGTCTATCGCATTCTATCCCGTGGTTTATCATCATTTTCCCTATCAGAATTTAGTGAAATGGGAGTGCACCATGGTATACCCCATGGTATCAGACACAGCTCCACCGATGCCCGAGGTTCCCATGCGGTCCTTGTTCCGTACATGTTGGCGCTATTTGTTTCACCGGCGACTTGCTCCAAAGATTTGGCCCTTCTTCAGAGGCTGGGATGATTTCAATGGAGGACATGGTTTTGGAAGAAACGCCTGTTTGTCCAAAAATGGAGACCATCATTGTCATGATCCCCAAAAAATTGTTTTAAATCCAATCATGTACTTACTGGTGCTTAGTAGGGAAGGGAATGATCCATAATCACTATTAATAATCTGGTATTATCTGGTATTTGTTTAATAATCCCATTATTAATATTGGATTATATATTCCCTATTAATAATAATCCCAGTAGGTACATGATACATAACAATCCCAGCAACCCATCTGGCAACCCATCTGGCCTCGATGCAGGTACGGGCGAGACGCCGGCTTCGCCTTGAGCACCAGGATGGCACGGGATGGGGATGGGGGGATGCAGATGGGAAGAAACACTGCAGACATGGATTATCAATCGGTGATTTCATGGTGGTTTAATGGTGATTTAATGGTGGTTTATTGGTGATATCATGGGATACCAACTCATTTAATGATATTTTTTAAGAATTGGATAGAATCGAATGAGAATATGATAGAAGATGATATCGGAGCACATCATACAGAAACATGGCTAGCTAGGAACTCCCTGGACATCCCTGGAGCTTTACAGATGGGACCGGTGAACTAAGTGGGACATTTTCTGTTTGATTCCCAGAGGCCAATGATGAGCCAAAGAACCATGAAAAAATAGGCACACTGATAAATCATATAGGGGTTCCTTAGATATAAAAAAACGAGAAGCAAAGTGTTGGTCCATACCATTCCATACCCCTAATTCAAACCCGAGGGTCCAAATGCAGAATTTTCCATATGAAGGGGATGCATATCCAGATTATCCCATGGCATTCCAGCTGGAGGTGAACAGGGGACCATAGGGGACCATAGCCAGGAAACTTGGCAATCTGCAACGTGCAAAAAGCCACAAGGTGCGCATTTCGCCCGAGGACTTCATCTTTCTGCTTGCCTTCTGCGAAACGATATGGAAACGGGAACTGGCAGCATATTCTATGGGGCAGTTGCAGATATTTCCACATCAGTTGCTATGTTTTATGTTTTTTTTGTCGTTCTTCCAGGGGGGGAGTACTCCAACACTTCAGAACCAGGGCGTTTCTTGCCAGCAAGGCTTCAGAAACAACTCGAAGCAGCTGAGTGCAAAGACTGTGCAGCTGTTTCTTGGTAGTCGAGCAGCTATGAAAAGTAGCTGAAACAGCTGGAACCGCGGCTGACCAAAAAAAGCATCAGCTGCAATTTGGGTGGCATTTACATGCATTTACTATATGAAACCGGGGTATGATCGGTATGTTGGTATCTGAAAACAATTTTTCACAGAACATCCAGGTGTAGGCAACAAAACATGAGGATATCATCCAGGAGTCGGGGAGAACTTCGAGTCTACCTCTTGTGAGTGGGTCAGAAGAAACACCAAATGTAGAGAAATGTGCCAAAGTCCTTGAACAGGGTCACGTCCGCGAATGGGATGCCTGAACTATTGGTCTCCCAGTCCAAGATTTAGAATTCTTGATGGATTCCGAGTCTCCAATCTTTGAACACCCCCCTTCAAAGTTCACAAATCTCCATTCTTATCCGCAAAATCCGCAGTCTTCTGATTTTTGTTGGCTGAAATCCTGTTTTGTTGGTGGAAGCCCCATCCTGCGAAAGTCCCACTTCACCACCAATGACTTGCGAACTCAGGTGCCCTGGAGACCAGTAAGATCCAAGAGGCGCACCATGGGTCACCTCTCGGTGTCGTCGAATGGTCATCCGACTGGATGAGTTGGATGATTTGAAAATTTTGGGGATACCCCCCATGACGACTAGGACACAAAATCGACACATGTTAAATCACCATCCACGATTTGGGCGGCTGGGGGCAGGCTCAGGTGGCAGCCTTGAGCCTGGCAAAGGAGTCTGGAGCTGATTGGGGATGGGCCAAAATGCTGGTTTTGCCGCCTTTCTTTGCCCCTCCCTGTAAAAAGACATGGTAAGGGGAAAATTTTGGGACAAAACCATGTTACATTCCAACATGGTTTTGAGAGTTTTGGACCGACCCGCATTTTGGAAGTGAAGCACTCAACAAGGTCGCTACCCATTGGATCTGTGGTCATCGTATAGATTCAGTGGTCAGATGGTTACTTCTCTTGCTGCTTTTGGCTCAGACTCTAACTTTGCTCAAAGCCTGAACTTGAACACCTCTCATTTCGAAGGATCCACTGTAAAATCCAGATTTTCAAGATCCTGATTCTTTTTGAAGATCCTGACCAGTAACCCCTAGGACCAACACCGAGCTGCGAAAGCCACGAAAAACGTCCAACAATTCTGCGGATTTCGGCCATCCGATGGACGTGATCGTCCATGTGGCTTGTTTTGAGCTCTGAAAATACCAGAAGTTTACAGTGCCATGAACAAACCATATCATGCACCATGCGGTAGCTGACTGAACCCGACCCAATTCCAAGAAAACACATCGCCAGTCCCCGCCATTTTTGTTTGGCCCAGTTGAGGGTTCTCCGCTTTTTAGGCAACCAATGCCAGGGCTTCTCACTATAAATGGGACACATACTCCGACAAAGGCATGCTCTTGTTTGAGAGTAGTACATGCACACATAATCCTATGATATCCTATGTATCTACAGATACATAATCATGTCATGCACGTACAATGACAATAATGATTCATAGTAGTGATAAACACACAGTGACTGATAGATGGCAATTGTGAACAGTAAACAATGAACAATGGCCAAGAAACACAAAAACATAATGTTATATAGATATATAACCAAGAGGCGAATGATAGAACAAAACAATAACAACAAAGATAACTGCCTTGTGCTTGTTGCGAGGCCATGAGAGCGGCACTGCTACTACTTCTGCCACAGCTGGTGCTTGGCATCGGTGAGGAGCTCCTTGGCAGTTTTGGTGCCCTCTGGGAAAAATCCATGAACATCATCTACAAATGGAGGTTTGTAGCTGGGAAAAATCAGCGAACTATTGTTGGTGGATTATGAAAACTATTATTAGTATCACTCATCATGAATCAATCATTTTGATTAAGACCATTGTAGATGATGGTTACCCGGGGTCATCGAAGGTGGCGATTTCTGGGAACCCCCCATCAGAAATGGAGGTTTTTAGCTGGGAAAATCAACGAACTAAATGGAATATGATGTTCCATTCCACTGCCACTATTTCAGCAGGAATTTCAGGACCGTAAAATGGAGGTACTGTACCATAAAAAGCCATATTCAGATTCCTGAAATGGCACATTTTTTTTATTTATATGTTCGAGATGGTTTTATCCCTAATAATTTAATGTCCAATTTTGCTTTATGTCCTTCTGTTTTCTTAGTTCCCCACATCTTTGCGTGGAGTTTTTCTTTTCTGTTGTGCACTCCCGTCCACTTCTCCTCCTCCCCTCCTCTCTTTCACACACAACCTCGCACACACACACACAACTCTGTCACAAACAACTCTGTCACACACAACTCTGTTTGCAAGTATTGGAAGAAGTTGAAATGTGAGGTTATCTGGTCCTTTAATTTTTCATTCGGATTCTATGTAAGTCAGTGATGGCACATGGTGCCAAGCCAACCACCCCACTTTTCCGACAGGGACACCATCCACGGGGATGATGTTGAAGCAACAAACAAACATGGGGATCTTCCCACACGAAGGGCTTTACCCAGCAAAGATACATTTTCAGGCAATTTCAGGCAATTTTCATATAACACATACATCAATTAACGAACAGCTTACCTGTCCTTGTCCATGCAGGCATTTTTATTTTGTTTTGAAGGGAATACAGCCTGAGCGCTGGTTAAGAATCCGAAAGCTTGAGGTCCAGGGTCCCTCAAATTCTTATTTTTCAATGCAGGCAAATTTACACCACAACAGGCCGAGGGTCCCTGAAATTCTTAGGACATTCTTAGTTATGTATTGCATGCACCTGCACAAGTTGGAGCAAGCTTAAAGGAGGTAACAAGGTGGAGTTGGCAGATTTGACAAGAGGCATGCGAAAAACAGAATTTTTAGAGCCTGAAAATTTGATTTTTGCAAAGCCGGGCTTGTCTGAGTTTTATGAGAGCAGTACGGAAAAAATTTTTTTTTAGAGCCTGAAAAATTGTTTTTTTGCAAAGCCATGCTTGTATGAGTTTCAAAAGGTTAGTGCGCAAAAAACAATTTTTTGGAGCCTGAAAAATTGTTCTTTTGCAAAGCCGAGCTTCTCTGAGTTTCATGAGAGCAGTGCAGAAAAACAATTTTTTAGAGCCTGAAAAGTTGTTTTTTTTGCAAAGCAGTCCAAGCATGCGCGAAAAAAACAATTTTTCGGAGCTTGAACAATTGATTTTCTGCAAAGCCTCCGTTTTCTTCAAGCTATTGAGGAAAACAATGTTTCAGGTCCCCAAGCCTATCCACATATGGATTTTGGGTGGAATGGAAGCAGTCCAAACATGCGCGCAATTTTTTTTTTTCGGAGCCTGAAAAATTGTTTTTCTGCAAAGCCCAATTTCATCCCGTAAGACAATATAAGGGGCCACGCCAAAAAAATGAACCGCTAAAGAGAATTGCAAACCTCGCGTATAAGCAGTAATTTAAGAATTTGGCAATCCTACTCCAGGGTCCCTCAAATTCTTAAAGTACTATGTGTTTGGTATACCTGAAAATATGTAGCCCGCCTTGGATTCGAGCCCCTCAAATTCTTATACAGTGAATTCTTGTACAATACTCAAGCTGTAACATTTTTACCATCATCAACTTGGTGGAATTCTATTTATTAGGATATTGACCAGTGAAAGATCGGCATTTAGAAGGTAATCCCCGCACTAAATGGAGGTTTTAATCAGACATCATCTGTAAATGGTGGATTTTCAATTGCCACGTTTGATTACCGGAGGGTCAAATAAACCAACGAAACCTGAACATTTCAACAACTGTTGACTACTGACCAGCATAGGCAGACACGCGTCAGGATTTTGAAACAAAACGAAAATTCATTTTGCACAACCAAAAAGTGACATTTTTGACCCGAGCCGAGAATTGGGACTTTTTACCAGGACAATTCGAGTTTTGTCGACCCAAGCATGGATGACTTTTGCCAGCAAAAATCTCGAGAACATGTACTACGCAAAAATAATGTAACCCGCCAAACATCGCGAACATAACAACACTAAATCAGTTCTTCTGGAGCTCTCAAGACTTCTTAGGCAGCCACTAGGGGCCGATGATGAGTGCATCGCGTCCGACACCTGTGCTCTGAACCTTGGCAGATGGAGTTTGCCGCCCGAATTTTGGGGCAAAAAGGGGGATTCAACCGACGAACATTGGGAAAAATGATGAAACATGGAGATTCAAATGATTCAAACTGCAAAAAATGATGTAAATTTAAGCATTCAACATACAACACGTAAAACTACTGTAGGGATTCAAGCAGCAAACAGGGAAATATGGGACACAAATTCAAATATGGCTATGAGTCCAGACTTCAGGTTGTCACAGAGATTGGTTCCTAACATCAGGTCTTCTGTTCTTGGCCATGGACCATTTATGTGTGTAGTTGTGGATACTGCTGGTTTACCCTCCTCCCTGAGGAATGCTCTGCAACGGACGGGCAAAAGAAAGACGATGCCAGTGCCAGCCGAGTGGCTTGGCCATTAGGCAACTGCTTGTTGCCGTTGTTGCCTGGTTCTTGGGATCAAAGTGACTTCCGTTGAGTGCAGACTGTGCGGCCTTCATTGTTCCAGTGGATCTGAGGCAAAGCCACTCGCTTCTGCAAGATGCCAGTGCTTTGGTAGAAGGTGATGTGTGGATTTCAAAAGCATTTTACATTCTACAACTCACATCAATATGCTCATGATGCGCAGGTTGGATGATGCTGGATATTCTTTGGTTTTTCTGTTGATCCGGGGGAAGCATTGTGTTTGAAGTTAAAATGATGCTTGAGTTTGAGGTTTCGAAGTTTGAGAATCATCTGCAAAGGATGTGTCAACGACTGACCTTTCCTGGATAGGTAGATCTGCCGGGGGCGGCTCCATTCTGTCTTCATGGCAAGGCTGGGGGAATTTGAATGGAATTCACCCATGGAGTCTGGCACTGTGTGGAAAATGTGTGGCAAAATCATTGCATCAATTTCAATGCTGGATCATGTGGTAAACCCAATAAACCATCCCCGAAATCACCATAAATGACTGGTATAGACCATCCCCACATGGCCCCACATGGTAGGTTTATTTTTGGGTTGTCCACATTTTCAGGTATGGATTTAAAATAGCCTCAAGTCAGAAGTCAGCGCACCTATTAGTTCTTAGTGCCACAAAACTGACACTGCCATAGCCATCTAAAATCCACCATGTTTGGATTATTTTCTTAGGGAAACCCAGGCATTTCCATGTAGTTCACTGGAGTACAGTGTGTATATGTTAATATATAAAACTATATATGTGATATATATATATATAAATAAATGATAATATATATATATATATATAAATGATAATATATATATTATTTCATAAACATATGTATGTATAATTATATATATATTAAATTCATATGTATATATATATAATTATATATATGTGTGTATATAATTATATATATATGTATATATAATTATATATATGTATAATTATATATATACATGTATATACAATTATATATATAATTATATATATAATTATATGTATAATTATATGTATATAATTATATATATGTATATAATCATACATATATACATACATATGTATATATAATCATACACATATGTATATATATATATGTATATATGTATATAATTATATATAATGTAAAATTATATAATAATAAATATATATATAATGATAAATATATATATATAATGATATATATATATAAATGATATATATATAATGATATATATATATATATAAATGATATACATATATAATGATATATATATATATAAATGATATATATATATAATGATATATATATATGCTGTACACATATTCCAATATGTTCATATCCCCATGATCTCGTCCAGGCCACGTTGCAGTTTGTTGCTGTCAGGTGTCCGAGAAACTGGCTCCAGCTGCATGTGGACCAACTGCGATGAGGTGTCACTGGGTCCTACCACCTGCCATCATTGGAGATGCATCTGTAAGGAGGGCTACTACTACAACAAGGACTGCGCTCCCAGTGGCTGTGTTCAAGCCCTGTAGATAAAAAACAAAGGGAGTTATACTACCCAAAATATGGGGGACTATCACGGATTATCAGAATCGATGAGCTGGGTGGATGGTCTTGAACAAAGATGCGAGAGGCATGTTTTTTCGACATCATCTAAGAGGACTTATTTTTGAGTCTAACTCAAGATGTTTATCACCAAGATGGACCACACCTTTGGAGGGATACTCTTGGGGTATTTTTGCAGGGTTGCCCCATGGTTCACAAAAAAAGCAACATATTCAAAAGAATTCATTTTGAATCCAGTAAGTTTTGGAATGTTTTGGAATGATTTATGTATATGTATATATATATAGTTTTATATAGAATATTATGGAAAGTTTTTTTTTTTGAATGATGGGTCCTATTACAATTATCATCAGGTGATTTGGCAGATGTCCTTTCAATTTTAGTTTGATGCAGCATGGGCCAGAAATGGGGAACTTGGAACTCATTCACATATTTTAAATGCATATGACATGAGTTTGCATCCAATGGGGCAATAAAACAATGGGCAAGTAGGCACAAAGCTGATGGCGATAACAATACGAATAATAACCACCGACATGGAACCCCTATTCCAATGGTAGAAATGATTTGGTCCAATGATGTTATCTGTGCTGGCTTTGCCGCTGGCTTTACCAATGGAATTTACATGGGTCATTAGCCATCATAGCTGGCAACCCTGAAGAATAGAATGTTTTGGAATGCTGGGTACCTGGCAGTATGTCTGAAGAGCCCTGTGAAGTTGAACCATGGGGTCACAAATGGGGATGGGTCAAAATCTATTGCCATATTTGAGGGAATAAACATCCATTAAGAGCCAACTATTTTAGGATACCATCCGGGTACCCGGGTTTTCCAATCTTTGTTGCCCCTTTGAGGAAGCCTCCAAATGCACGGCGCAGCCCAAAGATGTGGGCGACCTGGACACCGGAGGTCAGTGTCGCTGGACCAACTGCCACCCCTCGCGTGGTCTGACCCGCTGCGTGTCCTACAAATGCCTCTGTCTGGCTGGCTACCGAGCGGCGGAAGGAAAGTGTGTGCTCAAAGAGGGGATGCGCTACTTGACTGAATGGGAATGAATTTGTGAAGCCAGGCATTGGAGTGGTGAGGTCGGAAACATTGGCATTTTCCAAACAAGTATATAGAGTTTTTACATCTTGAACTGAACACCCTATGAAACGAAAGGCTTTCCGTTCCAACATCGACATCAGCTAACCATGAAATGGGGGGCCTGTTCAGTTGAGCAAGGCAAGCTTTTGGGGGGCATTCCAAAGGCGTAGCTTGATTCTTGGCTAGTCCGTGAAATGCTAGTTGTCCTACAAGAGAATAAAACACAAAAAAAAACAATACAACAATCACTATCGGGTCATGTCATCTAGTCACGAAAGCTAGCTGTAGCTCGCTGGAGTTTCTTCTTGCTTTAGCAAGGGATGGGGCAGACCAAATGCCAAATGTGTGATTTTTTACGCGAACCCCCCCGGCCTCCATGCATCACCATCACGCACAATTACAAGCCAATACCACAGGATCAGACGAACTAAACCGCGCAGCATGTAATTGCAAAACCACGGTGGCTTAGGCCACGATCCCCCCCCTTAGGTCAATACCCCTCGGCGAATTATATAGCTCTACTCAACCATCATGACCATCATGCATCTTTCTTCTTCTTCTTCTTCTTCTTCCGCAGCATTCAGATGTGTCTCATCTAAGCTGAGCAAGCAGCACGGTCGCACTGCATGACCACTAGTTGCTGATCGTAGCCCACTGCGATGAACGCACCGTGGGGACGGTCACCCGCAGCAACTCCTCGTGTCTACACGAATGCAGCGACGCAAGGAATCACTACGTGAACCTACCAGGTGCAACACCCTTGAAAAAAAGGAGAAGCGCTACTTGTCACCTAAACAGCCGTCAGCTCATCAATCACGTCTTGGACTTCACGTTCCAAACCGGCTCGGGGAGCCATCATGCATCTCACACAATTACACATCCCATCATCAATCAATTAATATCATTTTTCACGGGCGTATCAAACATACTTAAGCACCAGTAATCACTCGCAACAGCAGCTCAGTCCGTACACCTGGCTTAAAAACTGCATAAAACCCATCTGACTCTTAATTTTTAGTTTTCATTCGATTTTCCCCCTCAGTATGCAAACATTAAAACACATGATAAACATTAACTATAACCATACAGACCTCGAACTGTTAGTCATTGAGACAGTACACACGCGAAGGGCCATGACATTCCGTAAGTTTTCATCTCATTCTCACATAGTCTTGAGGTAGGCGCTCTCATCTGACACCAAAGTTCATAGATAAGTTTTAGCAATCAATTTCCTTAAAATAAACCAGCCAACTTCACTTTCTCATATCCGCTCATACACTACACTTTCTTCTTGAGTGACACCTATTATATCCTTAGCGTCTATAATAACCAAAACCTGCTTAAGCTATGTAGTGGTATTACTACAAAAGTCGCACAATTACGAGCTATATCACTTAGCTATCCCTGACCTAAGCCGCACGTTCACGTGCTAAACTGCTATCACATGCTAAGTCACATCTTGGAAGCAGATGAGCAGGGGCTCAAAGGCCACCTCACCCACGCCACTACTCAACTTATTCCACCAAGTCACTCCATGAAAGCATACACATATCTCGATCCACCTCTCTCACTCCACCTTGCCCCTGCTTAGCTTTCGTTCACCAGCCCTTGGGACTTAAGTGATCAGCATGTGATAACTTGTTCTCCCACCGAAAAACCTCCAAGATGGTTCCCCAGTTATAAGTTGGTTCATAAACACCATGACCTATAGAACTATATCTACCATAAACATCCATAAACATCCATAAGCATCCATAAACATCCATAAACATCCATAAACATCCATAAACATCCATATCATAAACATCCAACTTAGCTATTGTTTCTGCTGCCCCAAAGACCTTCGCCGCCGGGCGTCGAGTCGAGGTCAAACCCCCGAGACCAGCATCGCCTGCGGCTCTCCCAGCATCAACGATCTCTGTTGGAAAGCCGTGGACTGGGCGTTGCTTGGCCGGGGGATTCGCCAGATTTTTTTAGGGATGGTTTACCCTCTGGTAATGACTAACATAGCTATTGAAAATGGCCATAGAAATAGTGGATTTTCCCATTAAAAATGGTGATTTTCCATAGTTATGTTAGTTTACCAGAGGGTATGGTGGGAAAATCACAGTGAAAACTGTTGGAAGGAATCCAATGGTGCTGAGGGTTTTATGATTTTTACGTCGGGGATCCAAGACATGGAGATTGGGTCAAAAAATTGGTTGGTTGGAACCACACCCACCAAGCATGCTTGTCAACCAGTTCCCAAGTGGGATGGGTTTAAGTACGGGGAAACCATCAGCTTTGGATCATTGAAGAATATGAAGATTGGTGACATATGAAGAATATTGAAGAATACTATTTCCAGGAATGTTGACTGAGGAATGTGGCCATGTGGCATGCCTGGCATAACCCAAAACCAGCCATCAGCCATCCGCGGCACCAAGGATGTATGACGGCATCTATGCTGATCCCAAAGAATATCCTGGTCTTCACCCGGGCCTCGCCGTTTTTCATCGTGAATTTTCTGGCAGATGATCTTTAGACAAGACCAGAAGATGATAGTTACTATATTATATGTTATTATTGTGATTGATGATAACATATGATAACTTATTGTCATTAACTACTATTATTGTCATTGATGATAACTACTATTGTGGCTCATACTTCTATGTCTTTGAGTGAAGAAATCAAGATCCTGATCGCCTCTGAATGGCAGGAATGAGCAGCTTCGATGAGTTTCAGTCACTGTGGCTGAAACTTGCTCCATGGGTGTCTCAAAATTTGGAGAATCGGACTATCTATGAATACTGTACTTCAACATATAACTATCTAGTACAATGGAGAACATGTGTTTTTTTTCAATACACCATCAGGTTTTAAGCCAAATAGCCGTTGGGTACCATGGGCAAGATTGGATTTTCAAACAACATGCATCCGGTGTTAACCCGGCTATTTGGTTCCCAGGAAAACCATGTTCCCAGAGTGGGTTGAAGGCGAAATTAACCATGGAAAACCCATGGGAAGATCCGATTTCTCTGTGATTATTTGGTGGTTAAAACAATGATACACAATTAATGTGAATCATGTGGAGAGATAAACAATCATTGTTTTTCTTCAAAACAATCCATTGATTGTCATATGAATGCTGTTTACATTCATATTATTCTATATCCCTTCTCCGTAAAATGTTTGCTTTTACGGCCCATTCTATCAATTATATGTATTATGTACTGTGCTGGAAATGTTCGGATGCAGTTGCTAGTTGCTAAATTTTCCAATCCGATCCAATATTTCAGTGCTACTGTGGATGGTTGCGAAATCCTGCACCGGCTGGTAGATCTTAGATGGGCAAAATCCCATTATAATCCCATTAAAGTCCCAGTGTTTCATAGGAATCCCAATGGGTACCAACTGGTGCAGTACTAGCCTCCAGTAAACTAACAAGCTATGGAAGATTCACCATTGATCATCTTTCCATCAAGATGGTAATTTTCCAGGTCGCAAACTGTTTGGTCATTACCAGAGGGTATCACTTCCCACCATCCTTTGGGGACGGGGACGACCATTCTCCCTACAGGTTATCCATGGTTATCCCATGTCAATGAGTGGGTAAGCTAGCCCCACACCACTTGTGAGTCATGGATGATCCAAGTTCAGCCAGTTTTTTGGGGCATTAAACATTTTATGAAAGCCAGTTAATTAACTATCGTTAATTTATCCCAGTTAACATCAGTTAACTATGCTTAGTACACTCTGGTAAACTAACATAGCTATTGAAAATCACCATTTTTAATGGGTAAATCCACTATAAATGGCCATTTTTAATAGCTATGTTAGTTTACCAGAGGGTATCCCCCAATAAAAACATCCCATCAACAGGTCCTTCATCAACAAGATCGACCCAGTGACCTGTCCTAAGCCCTGCGGAATGGTCTACGAGACCTTTGCCTCGCCTCGGCTCTTGGATCCCAGCTATCACGCAGTCAAAGGTGCCCCCGGTGCTGCTCGGTAAAGGTGGTTTTATATGGCAGTGTGTCAAAACCTTGTACCCCTGGTGAACATCAAAATAGCTGGTAAATGGATGTTCATCCCACTAAAAATGGTATGTATAGGTATTGATCCATAGCCATATCTGTACAGCAGATGATGATAGATGATGTATTTCTGTTTTCTGTTGGTTAAAGGGTCTTTTTTAAGTTCTCAAGCATCTTTGGAATGATGATGGTGACAAGCAGATTATGGGGGTTGAAGCCACCGGGCCATTGGGAGGATTTCTATAGCCAACACCATTTATGTTGCTTTTGTTCATGATTTTCAACCACAAAAAAACCTGAAGCCCATCTTCAGGTGATCATATATACAGTAATACCCACAATGTAACAAGCAATATCCTATCTATATGTACATCTACACATATACATGCCTTTATGTATATAAATATAAATATATATATATATATACACACAGAAACATACATAAACCCATCTGTGCCCATGATCTTTTCGATACCATTGAATTCCATATACAACAGACATACAACAGTAACATATCTATTGCTATATATATATCCATCAAGATCTTCGTGATAGGTCCCTCCTTTTCCAGGTGTTTCCTACGGCCCGGCTCCTGTGAAGAAACCGGGCTCTCCACTGATGAACGACGACTTCATGGCGGACATCACGGGGGCCATGTGGGCGGACTGGGGCCGGGGGGATCTGCAGTTGATCAAAGACATGGGTGGCAACACCATTCGAATGTATGGCAACTTGGCCAGCCATGCTGTCGGGCGGCACCGCCACCAAACCATTTTTTGTCTTGTTTCGGGGGCATGGTGAAAGCTACCATTTTTGGGTGTGGTTGTTGTGGTTGTTGTGGTTGTGGTTGTGGTTGTGGTGGTTGTGGTTGTGGTGGTTGTGGTTGTGGTGGTTGTGGTGGTTGTTTAAGGCACCACAAACGAGGACACGGTCACGGTCCCATGTTTTCTGTCTTTAGCTTTTTGGTTGGAGTTTAAGATGCCAGAGGGGAAGACGATGGATTTGACAGAGCGAACATGCGGATGACCAACTAAAACGGGGATATCACCACACCGACAATGGGAAACCAGGTAGGGGTTGCTAAGACGCTCATTCTTCGCAGTGTTGGTACTGTTCACCAACAAATTTTGGGGCATTCATCAAACAAGAAAATCAGGGTATGGGAACTGGACCCCGGATGGATCCAAGTGGCAAATTTGCATCACCTTCAGATGGTCTTCAGGAGATCATGACCATGGAGTTCTGGGAGGTCTTGCGATCATGATCTCAATATATATCTCAGATAGTGGGCAAATATATGTAAACCTCTCAAACCTTAAGAGTTTCATTGCCATCACAACAAAGGGATTGTTCCAATCGAACATATACACCCAAAATGGGTGATGTCTGAATGGGATGTTCGCATGTCCAAGTTCTGTACCTTGCGTTTCCATCCATTTGCCACCAACCACAATTTGGCTTCGTCCAAACAACGGTCCCCCAAAATCTGAGTGGAATGGGACGATGTATCCCCCATTGACCTACGACTCGGCTAAGGCAACGATGCCAACACCAGCCATCGCGCCTTCCTAGACCTTGCCTATAAGAAAGGCATTGACGTCATTGCAGGACAGAGATTTTTTCGTGGTTTGTCCGGGTTCGCTTGATTTTCAGGTTCAAGAGCCATGGGTCGATTTTATCATCCCGACTCAGGAATGAGTGATTTTGGTTTCACTCAAGGGCCGGACAATTGCCTCATCAACGATTGGACAGAGCCTAAGAAAGGGAGACGTGCTGTTGAGGATGTGGTTTCAATGTTAAAGTCCATTGGAAGTAGTTAAGTAGTTCAATCATCAAACCTTAGACCTGCTGATTATCCTCAGCGATTCAGCTATTCAGCTGAGGTACTGCTATGACGAGGCATACTTCTTCTATCACAAGAATTTGCTCATGGGCTTTGCCATCGATGATTTCAAGCGTGCCACGTCCAAATCCTGGGATTCCACCGGATTCCAGGAATTTCATGGTTGAGCCATGTTGAGCCACAAGGAAACACATCTTTAAGGATCACTTGAACAAGAAAATCAAGAAAACTCCAGGACTATTCAAGGATTGGTCCCCAGATCTTGTCCTGAAAGAACAATAAAGAACCATCCCTGGTGGGTTTCAAATAGTTTTTATTTTTAACCATAGAAACGGGATGATGATCCCCAATGACTAGCCTTTGGTAATCACATGTGGCTAGCTGGAAAGTCCTTCTTTTGGGCTTCGTAGCTGCGAAAACCATCTATCAGTTGGTGGATTTTCCAGCAAACCATGACTGGTTAGGGCTGGCTCAGCTAGATCGAGATCGGCTCAGCGATGGGAGAGACTTCTGAGGTTATCATCCCGCGCTGAAGGCATTGATTTTGGCGAATGAGCCCGACTTGAAGGTGCTTAAAACTGCCGGTAGATGCATGTTTGATTGGATTGGTTTAAGGGAAAATCTACAGGAAACCCTGGTTTTTACCATTAAATATGGGGGTTTCCTGTAAATTTCCCCTTAAACCAACCCAGTGAATGTTTTTTGTTTTTTTTTTTCCCAGGTCTTGTTGGGGAGTTGGGGGGGTCCAAAATCCCAAGTCCTCCAAATATGGTCATTTCGTGGATCGATGAAATGTGCCAATCCAAGTCCATGGGTCCAGACTCAGTGATTCCTCAACCAATCAATCCGCGATTAGTTTGGAGTATGGATGGTTCAACTTATGGATCAGGGATTCATGGACAAATGAAATCACATGAATCCATTGAGAGCAAACTGGATTCAGCTTGGGGGGCAGAGGTGCATCCACGGTCTTTGACATGCAGAGCCATGGCGTCAGTCTTTGATGCGATTCTGCAAGCGGAGTCTTCGCCGCATTAACCAGTGCCTTTCACAGCTACGGCTGCTACGGCTACTGCTATGTTCTTCTTGTTTTAGTGTAATATGATTTCATGATAGCAGGATTGTACGCCTGTTGAGTTGTGTACTCCAGCGTTCAGGAAAAGGACGTGGGAGTCACTGGAAATCCGATTGCTCTGACGATCACCTGGTCCTTCGCAATGTTCCCAGATTCACAGGCGCCGATTCGACGGTCGAAGCTGTTGGTGTTGGATGATCGTCTCAGGGATCTCGGCCAGGTTCATCCCAACGCTCCAGCCCTGGGGCAGATGGAAGAGCCAGGAGCTCAGGGACTCAAGGGGTTGGGCATTTTCTTCCCATGAACTCCATGAAATTTTATGGGAGCGAACACAGAAAGAGGGCTTGCTTTACCTTAGATATCTTAGTTCAGCAACAAATTCGTGCTTCAGCGTTCAACTGGTGGTGACTCAAAGATGTTTCATTTTCAATGGGATGATCCCCAACGACTCAATGACTGGATGCTGGGGGTGTCAAGTTACCACCATCCAACGAAGGGATGGGAGCTGCAGGTTCTGGAAATGCCTGCAAGATGGGCCTGAAAAGCCACCCATCAACTACAAGCCGAAGAACGACTTGGTACAGGCACCCCTTGTGCACCACGGGAATCTTCGTTTTGATGCCCCAAATTCATAGCCATTTCTAATAGGGAGAATGATTGGACACCATCGAATTTGGGCATATACTTTCAGATACACCCAGATTTTTGCTGTAGACTTGACTTTTGGTACAAGGGTCCATGTGGGGCCCTGCCCGACAGCTGCCACTGCAGCCCTGCCTGTGAGGCCTTCCGCACCCGCTTTGTGCATAGCTTCAACACCGCAAATAAGGCAAACGAGGTGGGAGAACATCTTAGCAGCACGCTTCTGCCACTGCTGGGGTGCAGGACCAAACAGTGGTTCCACAATGACATTGGTGCAATCAACGAATATTTATGGCCATGGCTTATACATTTTTCGCAAATGTCAAACTTGGCCACGGCCACCCAAGACATCGCTGCCATTGGCATTCCCAATCCAGGTGGCACACATGATGCTGGAAAAGTACATCCACAGCAGCTTTTGGACTCATGAGATGAAAGTACCAGCAAGCTGGCACTGGTTGAGATGCGGGGGTTCAATGGGCATGCCCATCACCCTTTTTCATGCTTTGAGGATCATAATCATGTTCCCCAAAATTTGATGGGCATAAAAGAGGGGCATCCCCTATGTTCAGTCACATCAAAACATATTGTTGGCATTTGTTGGCTATGTAATTTATAAATCACATTCTATTCTATTCCCATTAATATCCCTTTTATATTAATTATTAAATCTCTATTGTTGATGACCTACGCTCCCAAATTTGGCCATTTGACTTGCACAGTTTCTCCATGGTTCTCGCCCAAGGTATTCATCGGTGAGTATCACAGCGTTCATGGCGATATGATGAACGATCTGACCAGAGCTATCAAGACGCTTGAGTTGCATTTGGGATTCATAAGCGAATAGTTCTTCCAAGAAACCTTGGAGCATCTTTTTCGACCGGAAGTTTCGGTCTTAGCTTCTTTAACACGTTCCCTGTATTTGTCATGCAAGGCATCGATTTGCGAAAGTTTCAGTATCCCACGATCCTTTTAGTCCAGTTGTTTAGAACATCAGGCTGGCAAAGTCGCCAAGATATCCATTCTTCATGGGATACTCCTTCTTTGAGTTTTCCCGCAGCTACTGGAAGGGTGGCCCAGAGATGGAATTTGGCATGTATGGTTCCTTGGCTCTAGACAAGAGGTAGAAGTCCACGTGAAGGACTTCCAAAGAGGCTCATGATTTCGGTGATTTCGCAAGGGCTTTTGTTGGTCATTGGTCAGGCTATGGTGACTGTCCCTTGATGGACATGAATTACACGGGCCTCACATACACCATCTGGAATTTGCCGGGCTTCCCAGCATCGTGGTTGTTTGCACAGCAGTAAAAAACACCACCGGTGCAGCCAGGATCCCCATGAGGGATAGAAGAGGCCACAGTTTGCCCTCGGCCCTGAAGAAGGCGTTCACTCAGGAGATGCAACTGACATAGTCTGACATAGTCTGACAATTTTGGCTGTCCGATTTTGAGATGCAGTCAAAATTGGGGTGCTATATAATTACGGCCAGGCGCTGTGTGTTGCCCGGAGAGTTCAAGTGGCGTTTAAGATCGTTTAAGCATTATCCTTCAACATGCTCAAGCACCTGCGCAGGGCCAGTGTCTTGAGACTTCCCAGACGGCGAACCCTAAACTCTATTCCCTAAAACCCTAAAACCTTAAACCTTAAACCCTAAATCCTAAAACCTAAACCGTGAAAACTTTGAATCCTAAACCAGAAAACACTGCGTATATGCAATATTTTCTGCAATCTCTCCTATCATATTCGACAACACGACATCCTCAATGTTAATGTCTGGGCAACACACGGCGTTTGTGGGTATAATCGTATATACTAAGTACATCTAAGTACTAACCCAACATGGGTAGCTACTTAAAACATAACCAGCCATGACTGGTTGGCGCTGCCTTGCAGGACTCAGGGCTTCCAAAGCTGCTCTCGCACCCACACATTGAGTGTAAGGCTTCCACCAAGGGTCTGCCATAGACAACGATGATCGATGGGGAGATCTGTGGTCAACTTAGTTGTCCGGGCACATGATTCGGGACAAGCGTCCCTGATAGATCTGGTAGAGCTTCGGCTGTGGTCAACTGAGGCAAGCGGGTTGGCAGTTGACATTTTCGAGGTCCTCTCGAAGCAGAGGAGAAATTTGACTAGTCAACAACCTCCGACAGGAGGTCGCCATGTGTAAAATCACATGGTCCAGCGCCAGAAACGCTGAACATGCACGAGACTAGGACATTTTTGCGTAGACTCTAGTGCAAAGCAGCAAATTAGTTGCTAGCTACTTCGGAATCTTCAGACGTCATGATGTTGCTTAGTGAGGAAAGGAGCGGTACAAAAAGAAGCGTGACGCACATTGCCCCTACTTACCCTACTGAAAACTGTGGTAATTTTACCGACTCACTGAGGGGAACCACCATGTACAGTTATCAATATTTAACGGCATAGAACTTGATGTAAACATATTACAGACCTCCCATGTCCATGATTGTTGATATTTGGTGACTGTTGATGATTGTTGTCATCACATCCACCCAATATCAGATGCCCAGTTTTAGGGACCCCAAGTCATGACTGGATCCATTGGGAGTCTGGGATCATCCCATGTTCCACCAAGCGATTCCTGGGAAGCCCCGAGTATTCCCCATAGATTTCCGCATCCTATCACCCGATCCCCACTTCTCCATAGATTTCCCCGCAAATATCTAGAGAAATAATATCTATATCAATATCAACATCTATATCTATATCAATATCTATATCAATATCTATATCTATATCAATATCTATATCAATATCTATATCAATATCTATATCTATATCAATATCTATATCAATATCTATATCAATATCTATATCTATATCAATATCTATATCAATATCTATATCTATATCTATATCAATATCTATATCAATATCTATATCAATATCTATATCAATATCAACATCTATATCTATATCAATATAAACATCTATATCAATATCAACATCTATATCTATATCAATATCTATATCTATATCAATATCTATATCAATATCTATATCAATATCTATATCAATATCTATATCTAAATCTATATCAATATCAACATCTATATCAATATCAACATCTATATCTATATCAATATCTATATCAATATCTATATCAATATCTATATCAATATCTATATCTAAATCTATATCAATATCAACATCTATATCAATATCAACATCTATATCTATATCAATATCTATATCAATATCTATATCAATCTATATCAATATCAACATCTATATCAATATCAACATCTATATCTATATCAATATCAACATCTATATCAATATCAACATCTATATCTATATCAATATCTATATCAATATCTATATCAATATCTATATCAATATCTATATCTAAATCTATATCAATATCAACATCTATATCTATATCAATATCTATATCAATATCTATATCTAAATCTATATCAATATCTATATCTAAATCTATATCAATATCAACATCTATATCTATATCAATATCTATATCAATATCTATATCTAAATCTATATCAATATCTATATCTAAATCTATATCAATATCAACATCTATATCTATATCAATATCAACATCTATATCTAAATCTATATCAATATCAACATCTATATCTATATCAATATCTATATCAATATCTATATCTAAATCTATATCAATATCTATATCTAAATCTATATCAATATCAACATCTATATCTATATCAATATCAACATCTATATCTAAATCTATATCAATATCAACATCTATATCTATATCAATATCAACATCTATATCTATATCTATATCTATCTCGATAATCTAAATCTATATCATATCAAACATCTATATTATATCCTAAATCTATACAATCATCTATATCTAAATCTATATCATTAGCAACATCTATATTATATCAATATCTAGTATCAATATTATATCTAAATCTATATCAATATCACATCTATATTATATCAATATCTATATCAACTTTATATCTAAATCTCTCTCACTATTATATCTAAATCTAATCAATATCAACAATCTATATATATCAAATCTCATCAATATCTATATCTCAATCTATATCAATATTCATATCTAAATATGATATCAATATCAAAATCGATATCGATTATCAGATCAACAATCTATATCTAAGCTATATCAATATCAACCTCTATATCTATCATCAATATCTATTCAATATCTAGATCTAATCTAGATCAATATCTATATCTACATCTCTTCAATATCAACATCTATATCTATATCAATATCGTATATCAATAATTATATCTACAAAAAATCTCTATCAATAGCTATATATAATCTATATCAATAGAAACAGCTAGATCTTATATTCAAGAGCAAATCTATAATCTACATCTATATCAATACAACATCTATTATTCTTTTTTAAAAAATCAATATCTTATATCAGATTCTATATCTAAATCTAATATCAATATCGTAGATCTACATCGATATCTAAATCAAACAGATATATCATAGCAATATCAAAATCTATAGTCTCAAATCTCTATCAATCTATCAAACATCTTATCTATCTCATCTCAAAATCATATCTAGATCTATATCTATCGATCTTATCTATCTGATCTATATCGATCTACTATATCGATTCGATCTATATTCATTCGATCTAGATATCTATCGATGATCTGTATCTATCTGTATCTATCTGTATCTATCTGTATCTATCTATATCTATCTGTATCTATCTGTATCTATCTGTATCTATCTGTATCTATCTGTATCTATCTGTATCTATCTGTATCTATCTGTATCTATCTGTATCTATCTGTATCTATCTGTATCTATCTGTATCTATCTGTATCTATCTGTATCTATCTGTATCTATCTGTATCTATCTGTATTTATCTGTATCTATCTGTATCTATCTGTATCTATCTGTATCTATCTGTATCTATCTGTATCTATCTGTATCTATCTGTATCTATCTGTATCTATCTGTATCTATCTGTATCTATCTGTATCTATCTGTATCTATCTGTATCTATCTGTATATATCTATCTATCTCTATCTATCTATCTATCTATCTATATCTATCTGTATCTATCTGTATCTATCTGTATCTATCTCTATCTATCTCTATCTATCTCTATCTATCTCTATCTATCTCTATCTATCTATCTATCTATCTATATACCTATATTAGCCTATATCCATATCTATATCTATATCTATATCTATCTCTATATCTATGTCTATATCTATATCTATATCTATACATATATCTATACCTATATCTATATCTATATCTATCTATATCTATATCTATAGCTATATCTATAGCTATATCTATATCTATCTATATCTATATCTATAGCTATATCTATATCTATCTATATCTAAATCTAAATCTAAATCTATATCTATATCTATATCTATATATCTATCTATCTATCTATCTATCTCTATCTATCTATCTCTATCTATCTATCTCTATCTATATTTCTCTATCTATCTATCAATCTATCTATCTCTATCTATCTCTATCTATCTCTATCTATCTCTATCTATCTCTCCCTATCTCTATCTCTATCTCTATCTCTCTCTATCTCTATCTCTATCTCTCTCTATCTCTATCTCTCTCTATCTCTCTATCTCTATCTATCTATCTCTATCTATCTATCTATCTCTATCTATCTATCTATCTCTATCTATCTATCTCTATCTATCTATCATCTCTATCTAATCTATCTCTATCTATCTATCTATCTCTATCTATCTATCTCTATCTATCTATCTCTATCTATCTATCTATCTCTATCTATCTCTATCTATCTATCTCTATCTATCTATCTATCTCTGTCTATCTATCTCTATCTATCTATCTCTATCTATCTATCTATCTATCTATCTATCTTATCTATCTAATCTATCTAATCTATCTAATCTATCTAATCTATGTAATCTATCTAATCTATCTAATCTATCTAATCTATCTAATCTATCTGATCTATCTAATCTATCTAATCTATCTAATCTATCTAATCTATCTAATCTATCTAATCTATCTAATCTATCTAATCTATCTAGTCTATCTAGTCTATCTACTCTATCTAGTCTATCTAGTCTATCTAGTCTATCTAGTCTATCTAATCTATCTAATCTGTCTAATCTATCTAATCTATCTAGTCTATCTAGTCTATCTAGTCTATCTAATCTATCTAATCTATCTAATCTATCTAATCTATCTAATCTATCTAATCTATCTAATCTATCTAATCTATCTAATCTCTCTATTCTCTCTATTCTCTCTATCTCTCTATCTGTCTATCTGTCTATCTGTCTATCTGTCTATCTGTCTATCTGTCTATCTGTCTATCTGTCTATCTGTCTATCTGTCTATCTGTCTATCTGTCTATCTGTCTATCTATCTTTCTACCTATCTATCTCTCTATCTCTATCTATCTATCTCTATCTATCTATCTATCTATCTCTATCTATCTATCTATCTATCTCTATCTATCTCTATCTATCTCTATCTATCTCTATCTATCTATCTATCTATCTATCTCCCCTTCACGTTCCCCATGATTATCCCCATGATAATCGCTATGATATTCTCATTATTTCGTTATCTTTTCCCATCATATCCCCATTCAAATCCCATGGTCACATCTCCAAGTTTGGTGATGTCATTGCTGATGCTTATGTTACCTCATGTTACCTCCAAAATCCCATGAATATCACAAAAAACAAGGTGATTTTCTTGAAGAATAGGTCCCATGATTTCTCCGTTTTCCGCGTTCCATGGGATGATTCTTCGATTCGGCTGCCAAGGCCGGAGGCTTCACTGTCCATTTGCTTGGAGCTTTGTGAGCTGCTGACGGATCCTTTGGCCAAGGTCCAACGGTCCAAGCAACTTAATACTTAACGTGTTTATTTTGGGGCTAAAGACCAATCATTTTGGGCATTTTTTATGATTACCAATCCAAAATCCCATGAATATCACAAAATCCCATGAATATTTATGAATGCAAATCTTGAGTATAAACTTGGTTGACGGATGAAGGTCTTACCTTTTTGGTCTCTGATAAGGCGGGATTGAGCTATGTTGGTTCGTAATCCCTTCTGAAGGCCCGACTTGGTGTTGGTGACCTTGAGGTGGATATCCTTGACCTCACCTTACCAGTTGTCATCCAGTTGGTGATTTTTGAAAAGGGGAACCTCCAAATCAACCAGGAAATCCCCCATTTTGGGGGCAGTTGGCTTCATTTTTTTCTGGGATATTTCAGCATCTATGTGGGAAAGGAATGGGAGTGCTGCCTTCGTTTTTGGG